GTTGTCAACTTGCAGTCCCTTGTAGAGACACATTGGAATGAGCATGGCAAACCTGCAGTGGATATTGCGGTTCAGAAGGTATTACAGTTGATTGCTGTATGGTGAAGAATCTCATTCGTTACTTCTGGAATTTGCTCTTTTACAACTTTGTGCCTAATTTACTGAGTATCATATTCATCTATTACTGACGAGCACCATACTTCAAATTTGTTCAGGCCCTGGAGAAAAAAGCCCAAGCTGAAAAGTGGGCTGAACCACACGTGGAAACATTTAAAACTGTAAGCTAGGTTAACTTTATTTTCAACTTTAGTATTGCATCATTACACTATGTGAGGACCTGAATTTGGTTGCGTTGCTGTTTTCCTACATCTCCCACTTTGTAATTTTTCCATGGCAGAGATAATTTAAGCAGGGATTACACAAACACACACACACACACACACACACACACACACACACTTGCGTGCCAATATGTATACATGTATGTCAGTGTGCTAGTATGCATGTCTGCGTGCATGCTAGTAAGTTCTACTATTCAATTATGGTTTAGAACTTTTTTATAATAAATGGTTTGTCTTCAATTTCATACTAATTTGGATTTCCCTTCCTTTTCCTGTCTCTGTCCTTGTGCTTTAAAGAAATGGATCCCAGCAATCAAGGAACAGTGGGTGGTGGTGAAAGAATCTGTTGAACCTCATGTGAAATCGTTAAGTACGAAAACTGTTGAAGTTTATGAGACGTCAAAGAGTACATTAGCTCCACATGTTCTAAAAGCACAAGAAGTTGTTGATCCTTATTTTCAGGTATCTATCTTATCATATAGACTTTTTTCTTTTGGGGGTTGTGGTTTTTCTGTGTTGCCTACATGCATCCTACAGCTGTATTTTTGGGTGACAGGAAGCAAAAAAGTTCAGCAAGCCATATGTTGATCAAGTGGCGACTGTAGCAAAACCTCATGTTGACAAAGTTCGAGTGGTATTGAAGCCCTATACAAAGAAGGCAGTTCATGCCTACGAGAAGTTTCTCAAATCTGCGTCAACGTACCATCATCAGGTATTGGCATTAATTTGGGAAAACCTTCATTCATTATGCTACTGTTAGATACTTATTAGTTCAAAGGTTTGATTGTTGCCTTTTAATTTGAAGTTGCTTTTGCCAAGCCAATTCATCTTGGCTTAATATGGAATATATGTTTAATTTCTGTTGTCTAATAATGACTCTGTTGAACAGAGTTTGGACTGCAGTACATATGTCATTTACTGTTGAGGACTATTACTGCATTGTTTTGTCTTCTATGTTTGTTGTCATCAAGTGATTCTAAGAATTCATTAGCTCAGTCGTTACATGGTTAATACATTGTAGTAGTTGCCATAAAATTGTCAAACAAAACCCGTATCCAGAAGGAGTTGTGTTGTTTTCTCAGTATTCTTTGTCCCAGCAGTGCTGAATATGTTGTTGAACTACATAATTTTTTGCCCTTGATACTTTCTAGCATTGGTGGATGTACCCTTAGCTTAAGCCATTCACTGAACCCGAGCTATAGTAGTTTATTAACTTTATAATTAATATTCCTTAAAGGTTCAAGCCAAAGTAAAAGATTTGCTGAAGAGGCATGAGCTGACAAGAGCCCTTGCTACAAAGGAGTTGGAGTGGTTTGCGGTATGTGTAATGAAATCATTCTTTTTGCAGCTCCTTTTATTTTATTTTTAAAATTTTATGTTTGACCAACAATTTAAATGTTGCAGGCCTCTGCTTTGTTGGCCCTACCCATCATATTTCTGTTCAGAATTTTCTCCTCGCTTTTCTGGTTAGTTTCTTAATTGTCTGTTCTTTTTAATTATGTTGTTGGTTGAGATGGCAATTAAAGTTCTGATGCTGGCATCTTGCACGTCCCTTTCTCTTAAATGAAAAGTAATCCTGAAATATTTCCGTTGGCTGATTACAAATTTTGGTTTATCATCATGCAGTACAAAGTCTAAGAAACCTGTTCGAAGTACCAACCATACACGTCGTAAGCCTAAAAGGGTTCATCCGGACAAGTAGACTGCTGCCAGTTTGTTCACAAGTCGTTTTCTTTTTTTATGGTTGAAGGTATACTTCATTATCATTTCAAACAGCAGTAAATGAACATTTTGTATTGTATTGTACCTGATACTGCTATCCCGTACTTTTTTGGTTGATAGGTGAAACTTTCCTATTCTGTTTATTTACCTCAGTATCTGTTTTTCTATTTCTTGCAGGTTGGTTTGTGCTTGTTGCAAGGGCATTTCGAGGCGATATATTTGTGAATCGGATGCAGCCACGGCAGTGTTCAAATATCTTGCTTAAGTTTTAGAAACTGTGATACACGAGTTAGACATTCAGATAAGTGTAGGAGTTCATCTGGTGTGGGCAGCTTTTAATTATGTTGTTCCAAGGTGTATTCTAGTTTATTTTTTATTCTTACAAAGTTCAGAGTCTAGATGATTGTCGTGTGCCCCTCTTTTCGTTATTAAAAATATAACTTTTTTGTTCTAATTTTTTATTATATAATTTATAATTTTTCAATTAACTGTGAAGACTGGAATCAATAATTTAGTGAGTTGGCCAAGAGGTGTGTCATTGGTTTGCGTAGAACTTGGTCTGCAATCTGCATATATGTTTCTCAACAACGCATACCCCGTTTTTTTTACCATATATTTACCTCCGTGACTTTCTGACTTGGGAAATAGTATCCCCAATAATGCCAAGGACAGACCGTCACCTGCGTGGTGGCAGTTCGGCGACCTAAAGTAAGCCACAACTTTGATGTATTGTTGTCCTGTCTACACAAAAAGCTAAGGCTGGTTTGGTATCCTATTTATTTGGAGATTCTATAAAATTCTTGTCTACTTGGATTCAAATTTATATACCAAAAAACATATTTGATCAAAAAACCTGTTTGGTGGACTCATTTTTGAAAGGGAGACTTTGGAAAAACACAAAAAAGAGAGAAATTTTGTAAAATAAGCAAAAATAAACAAAATTACCCTTATTTAATTTTGGATTTCCTAAGGAATCCTTTACATTTGCATGTCTTTAATTTGAAAGTTGAGAGGTTTTTCTGTCTTTTTTCAAAAAGCTTTGGCTTTTTCCAAAAGTGAAATTTTTTTTTTTGCTAAAATCTAAATTTACTTTTTTGGAAAATCGAAACCCCCCAAATTATTAAAACAAAAAAGGTGAGCTTTTACGGTTCTCTCTCTCTCTCTCTCTCTCTCTCACCGATCAGGTTTGTCTTTGTGAACACACCAAAACCACCGAATTAAGTTCATCATCGGCGAGTTCAATTTGGAGTTGTTGTGCACCACCAAAATTGATAGGGTTTTGCCTCACATCTTTTTCCTTTTCTATTGTTAATTTTAATTTGGAGAGTTCAATACTAAACAAGTTTTTAAATCTTAAAATTAATTTGGAGATTAGGGTTTTTGATTTTTTGATTTTAATATCAATTTTGTTTAGATCTTAAAAATAGTTTGGAGTTCAACACCAAACAAGGTTTTAAATCTTAAAATCACTATTCGTAAAAATAATCATGTTTTTCATTGTATCTTATGGGTCAAAACTTCAGGTGCCAAAATATTTGTGTGTTTAAGGATGGTTAATAAGGCTGTTGAGTGCTGTTAATTTAGGTTAACTTGTGTGAGCTCCTTTGTGACGTATGTGGTGGCCCATGAGGAAATTTGAGCTTGCTTTGAGGGCTTTGACATCTTTATTATCATGACATGCTTATTAATCCGTAATCGGAATTAAAATAAGAAGTTGAATTTCAATTATGGATTAATCCTATGTTTACTTCACATGGAGGAATAGAAATACAAGTAAGGCTCACATAAAATTAGGAATTCAACTCCTCCCCCAATTCCATATGATGTAGTAAACAACTTTAATGAGAATTCGGATTCTAACTCATCTCAATCCACTCATTCTCAATTTAATTTATTCTCATCCGATGATGGATTAGTAAACATGTCATCAGTGTTATACTGTTAGAGAAACCACAACTTCAGACCACAGTGCAATATTATCTGGCTGATGATGTTTCAATTATCAACTTATTACGACAATTAATGTGACAAATGGGTTTTTACTTCTAATACCAAAACAAAAAAATAAATAGGTTTTACTTCCCAGACTTCACACTCCTTTGTGATATTACTAATTCACTAATATTCTTATGTATCTATTTATAAAAATTAGAATCTAAATTCATAAATATAAATTTTTTCATTCAACCATATTATGATTACCCTAGCTATAGGCACATTGGCTTACACGATGGTCGATGCATGATGATGGCATTGGGTTTTTACAAGTGACCAACCGAGACCAACTGGTGACATTGCTACACAATATGAACTTACTAATAAAAAAAGCGACTTTTTTGAGAAGTTTTATTCCTTTCTCACTCTCTCACGAATTGAAAAGCTTCTCCAATGTATTCCATGAAAGTAAACTTACCATATAAAATTCTATGGAGTAAGTTTAATTTCGTTCTCACTCTCCCGAGTGTTTGAAGTTTTTCCAGTGCACGTGGTGCTGCTTTGTGGCCAACCACCCCAACGCCTTGTCAGATAATTACAAACTCATAGTTCCTTCCTGTGCTTATTACTAGCAGTCTCCTAACTTGTGGTATTTATCAATTCTTAAACTTCTAAGTTGATCCATTAGTGACAAAGATGGAGTGGTTATATATGTAATTAGTCCCCTTTCAGTTTACTGATATAAACATTATCAACTCAAAAACCACCATTTACATTAAGCTAAAAAATGGTGGATGGAGTCAATGAGGTCTAGCCCAACGGAAAATGGCTTTGACTTGCAGGCCAGAGATCTCAGGTTCATATCCCCACCCCACGGCATCATAGTTCTGTGTGTGAGTAGTTTAGACTATCGCTTTGTACTAAAAAAGAAAATATCGTAGATGGAAATAAATGAATTTAAAAGATATACAGAAGCAAAAAGACCAAGACATGTTTCTGAAGGAGAGAAGTAATTATAACTTAAAACTCTAATACATAAAGACGATAGATGGCCTTAGTTGCTATGGGTATATACTTACTTAACCCAGAAGACACCCCATTAGAGATGAATAACAAATTAAGGCGTGCTTAATTGAAATGTCAACAGATTGAAAGGAAATACAATTTCTCTACTGATTCTCAGGAGCACCTTATATGTAGCTAGCTATTCTATACTAATTAATATTAATACCATAATTAATTATTTATTAATTATGTTTGTGGTCTAACTTGCCCCTGAAAGTTAGAACTAATTATAATAACTCTCTTCATAAACCCTAATAGGGAGGCCAGTAGGTGTCAAGATCCACACAATGCTCCATGTTCATAAACCTGTTGCCATTCCCATTTGCATTGTTGTTGTTCATATCTATTGCACCATATCCAGCTTGATGATCTGGACCAAGGGAATTATTATTAGCCCCATTACTCATAACATCTTGCTGATGATGGTTCATAGCTGGAGGACCTTGATGATGTAGTTGTGGTGGTGGCATTGGCCTCAACATGGGCTGGGTGGCTGGCGCACCAAGATTCAAATTTAACCCAGAAATTGTAAAGCCTCCTCCTCCTCCTCCTCCAAGATTTGGGTAGTTGAATTGGGGTTGGATTGGTACGTTAATAGTGCCATTTGATGATCCACCACCGCCGCTGCCGCCAGTTCTTAAAACCCTAGAAATCTCTGCCAGCTCAGCACTTGTCATGTAATTTCTGCCATATGGGAATTGGTGATCACCTAGCTGCATCATGGGTGATGGCACCACACTTGGACCTATTTCTAGGTTGTAGGGATGGGCTGCTCTTGATTGGTTTGTTGGATACTTTTTTATGCCTGCGCTCTTCTGGAAGACACGGCAAACCACCCATTCATCCTGTTAAACACAGCATTTACAGTTAGTTAATTCAATCCACAATTAAATCTATATGGAATAATAATATAGAATGAAAGACATAGTTTAAAGACGAAGGGTATCAATATTCTTTTACTAAATACTATTTGGTACCAGGTATCAATATATTGTACGTGCTACATTGTCGATATATATATGGTCAATTTTGTGTGAATACTCTACTATTCACCACATTAATTTGCTTGAATTTGAAAACATATATCGACAATGTATTTGTTATTGTAAATTGATGTCCAATATAGGTTATCATTTACCTCCCTGAAATATGAATTCTGTTTTGTTTCTTGATTTCTTCTCTTTCCCATATTATTACTATCAGCATTGGTTTTCCATGTTTCATATTATCCCACCATCACCATTCACCATTCACCACGGCAGGTAATTTTCCATGTTTCCCATATTATTGCAAATACAACGTTAATTAACTCAAATGTAAGGGTAATCAGTCATCTAATTATTATTTGCTTGGATTAAACAAGGTGCAAGTACACCTACCTAGCTTTTGTAAAACCCAAAATTATATATTATATATGGACTACGGACTGTTCTCTGTAGACAAAGTTTCACAAATCTCGCATTGAATTAATCATGCTCTATCCTTTATCTTTTCTTAAATTATATAAATATGTAACTTGTGCTCAACTCAACATGTTCATACAAGTATCCCATGTATGGAGAGAGAGAGAGAGAGAGAGAGAGAGAGAGAGAGAGAGAGAGAGAGACAAGTGAATTTGTACTATATATAGAAATGAATTTAATTAGGTATGTACCTTAGAGGTTCTAAAGGCGGATTTAGAATGAATACGATATTCATGCATGACCCAATTGGACTTCTCGCCTCGAGGAGCTCGGCCTCTGTAGAAAACAAGTGTCTTCTTCATCCCAACCATCTCAGATGTCACACTGTTGAAGATCTCCTTGTCTTTCCCTGTCGTCTTCCAGTAACCTGTGTTTGTTGCTCTGTTTGTTCTCACTCCTGTTGGGTACTTCCGATCTCGAAGGCTGAAGAAGTACCACTCCTTCTCTCCCATTTTCGCCTTTGCTATAATTCATAATTCATTCAAACAAGAAACCGTAAATTATTCATTCCACAAGAAGCTACTAAATTTACCTATGAATATATGGGAAAATATCAATTAATTAACTATTATATATGTCACAAGAAATGTTATGCAAAAGTTCTCATGAGTTTCATTTCAGAAAAACTTGAAGCCAAGTAATAACCAAAAGAAAAATTAAATCAATAAGTTGAGAAAACTAAGCAAGATCTATCAACTAGCTGCAGTCTAGTGATATTTATCTCAACTTTATTGGTCGTCTATCCCCCGCATAAAAAAAGGAAGAGAAAAAAGATGAAGTAAGCAAGATCTGATGAGAACTTCAGGTTTTGTTTTGATGGATACATGCAAGGACAAAGAAATTGATTTCAAGATGAATTATTGAAAACAAATGAAGCTAGAGCTCACAAATAAGCTATAATCGTCTATGTGTATATATATTTACCAGGGAGTTCCCATGGCTCGCACTTGTTGAGATCAACATCTGCGATCGCCCTTCCAGTAAAAGTAGCATCAGTTATCTTGTTGATGAGATAGAAGGTGATAAGTTCTTCATCTGTAGGATGAAATCTGAACCCTGGTGGCAGTTCCTCCTTTTGTTCTCCTGTCATGATATGGAGACCTCAATTTCCTTTTTTGGTTTTGCCCTTCTGACTTGTCTGGCTTCTGCAAATATCACAAAGATCAAAGATATGAGATCAATCAAATCAAGAATATCTTACTGAATTGCTCGAAGACTTGCTAAGGTGGAAAAAAAGTCTAACTATATATCAACATAACCCTAGAGGACGATATGGAAAACTTGTAGATGCTAAGTACCTAGCTATGGCCAAAAGAACCCCCACCCCCCCACCCCCCCAAAAAAAAGGTTGCTAGATAGCTTCCTTGTACACATGAAGTTTTTACACTTTTCATAATATATTTTGATAAATTAATATCAAGAGCTGATGTGCATGAGGGAATACCACTGATCAATGATGAAGATGTGTGAGAGAGAGATAGTTGTGAGGCTTTTCTTGCTCACCATGCACAAGAAATTTAGAATTTAAACTTCCGGTAGCTATAGGGTGAAGAAAAGTAATTGGGGGTGTGTGTGTGTGATGGTGAAGTTCTCACCTACTTTGGGTCTTGAGCTTCAAGTTTCCAGGTTTAGGGCTTTTAATAATATGAAAGATCATGGAAGAAATCCTTGTTTTGGGATTATTACATGGTTGCCCTCCTGCACTCATGCACCTCTGAATTGCCAAAATTGTCCTTGCAATTAAAATATATTTGCATCCTACAGTTATTGAAGCTGGGTTTCCCCTTTTGTTAGGTAATATATATATATATATATATATATATATATATACAGGGAGCTTCCATTGAGGGATCCCTCAAATAAGCTTATTTGAGGGACACCCCTTGTAGGCCCCACTCCGGATTGTATTTCACTAATCTAAACCGTCTATTTTGTAGATACTCATTCAAAGATCATCTCTACAAAAAATCACTTGAATCCGATATCATTTGACCACTAAATTGAGTTATTGAAATTTTAGTACTTTCTTGAAGCACCGTGTTCATTGATTTTGTAAGACAAATTAACTTTATATTTATAACCAAACTATATTATTATTAATTGAAGCTTGAACTTGAAATTTCAACAAATCTTAATTTTGGGGGACACAGCTAAGATTGCAGGGTTATTTGTGTAATTATATAACTGGGTCGAACCTTGAGAAGAAGAATACGCAGTGGAGAGAGGTAGCTAATAATAGCAAGAAGAAACTAAAAAAGATAACAGATTAAATAATCTATTAGCTACATGCAAATGAGACAAAGTCAGGGAGACCAAGCTTTATACACAGTAAATATATGTTCACTGCTTCACGTAAACCCCGTTTGGATTCACACACAAGCAGCCAGCGTGCTAGCTAGATATTCAGACACAGAGGTCCAATATCCTCCCATTTGAGCATAAATTCCTCTTCCCAATTGTTGCATGCCATGTCGTCGCCAGGTCCCCCAACAATGACTATAATTCAATTAAGAATATCGCTAGGCTCGTGCAATTTGTTTACTAAATATATTGTTCACCAAATGATGTGACGGCCTGTCATTTAAAAGAGGCTTCCGCTCGCACACTGAATTGGCGCAAGACTACTTAAAAATAGTCACATGCTTGAAGGGTTGATACTAGAAAATAGGAGGGGGGATGGGGTTTGGGAAAAAAACTGACACAGCCCCCGGATTCCCTTCCCCTTAATTTGTTCCTTTTGTTTTGGCTCTTTTGTGCATATATATGTATTATAATTAGGAATCTAATTACTCACATTTTGTATGTTAATGTTGTTGTGTTGGAGAACAGGAACCCCAGTCTCATGGTTCGACCCCCAAAATTTTTCACCCTTATTTTGTCGATAGCAAAATATAATGCAACACTTATTAATTGCGTATACAGTTTAATACAAAAAACTTGACAATGAAAACATTTATATCCTTAATATGTTTGGTTTTAAATTGCCAAGTGTTTGAGATTGGATACAATTGGGCAAGCTCAATTTTCACAAGACTCAAAAATTAATGCCTCATGCCTCAATGGTAGGAGTTTGAAATCCGTTGGAAGCACTTTGTAGCCAGGGGCAAGCCGAACTCCGAGCAGAGATTAATCCCACCCTTCGGATGTGAGGATACCTCGTGGTATTTACCACAAAAAATAAAAAATAAAAAAAATTAGTGCCTCAAGCTCAACCAAAATTAATGCAGTATAGGAGAATTGACTATTATAATTCTTGCCCTTCAATGACTCAAGCTTATGCCCTTCAGTGCTTAATATAGAAAAATCAATATGTTCCTGGAGGCCTGAAAAAATTCGTACAGATCTGACTCCTGAGGACGAAACTGTTTGACAGGAAGCAAAATGAGAGAAAGCAAAGACGAAAATGTTATATGCTTTCGTACTTTTTGATCAATCATTTAGTAGACAGAAACCAAATTCTTTTATTTTTTTTCCTTCTCCAATACCGCCCAACATTGCGGTCAATCACGCATCATCCTGGCAGTTTCGTTAAATTGCGAATTAGCAGCTTGTCTGTAAAGCTTTGGATGGTCATGGAAGAACAGGTGAGAGTGATCAAGACCCCTACCAATCTGATATTTGAAGTGTTTGTCAAGTAAAGATAGAGAGATTGTGATGGATTGCTACTGCATACTGTGTGGTAATAAAAATCTCATAATAAAGTCGCAGTGCTCAATAATTCTGTTTCTAAACCTCTCAATCTTTCCATAATCATAACCAACCTCATCACTAAAATACTTACAGATGACGAGTTAAAGGTGCAATTGTGAGACATGAACACTTTCCAGGTTGCAAAGGAAAACAGTGACTTGGGCACTTTCAAATTCAACCTCTCTTCTCGGTTGCCCAATTTTGTGACTAAATAATTTGTGTCAAAGAAGATTAGCCATGATTCTGATCAAAGCAGTTGTTAGACGTTTGTCAGTGTAGCTATCAAGACCAGTTAATTGGCACAGAAGATTACTAGTATCTGTCATGCACTTCAAGATTATAAAACTGTTTTAAGGTATGAATTTCGTTGAAATCTTCAAGCCTCCATGGAGATTATAACTAGGGTTTCAGCTCCACATTCACACACGATTAATATCATAGTATTATTAATTGGGGATGGGGGAGAATGATTATGGTTTTGTTATGAACTGATTTATCGGTGCAATTTGTTGATTGGGAATGGGGGAGAATGATTATGGTTTTGTTATGAACTGATTTATCGATGTAATTTGTTGATTGGGGATGGTGCAGAATGATTAATCTGTTATTCATGGAATAAGTCATACTATGTTGGAAATCGTCTTGTTATGTAACAAATTGTCATATTATATACCGAAAATATAAATTTATTATTACATTTGCGTGCATGTATGAACAACGTAAAGAAAATTATAATTTGAGTCGTTTGATGGATACATGATTAAAGAATACGTGTTTGATCACATTCGTTAGCTCAACGATTAACTTTTGAAAATTGAAACTTCGGGACGACTTTGTCGACTTCGATAGCGTATAAAGTAGTAGTTCCACATGTTTATTTTAAAAAAGACTCTAGAAGCATTGAAGAACCCTAAACCAGTCTCACATTCATTCTTGACATATGCTACTTGTCAAGCACTTCAAAATAAAATACCAGGCTACTGTTTGATCTCACACATGCGTTACATCCTTCCCCGTAGTGCACAAAATGATTAAGCAGAACTTTCAAATAATTTATTGCAGAAAAAAGATCTAATTGGTTGTTGGGAGTGGAAGGGTGCAAGAAAGATATCATGAAGACAGCATAAGGGTGAGATAGATATTGTTCCCAAAAGGAGTGCAACAAAATTTCAAAGAGTAGTTGTATGTAGAGATTTCATGAAGCTAACTAGCTAGCCAATGTTTTATATGCAAAATCTACATATATATATTCTGGTGCTTTGTGGCGTAATACTCGTACGAAATCATGTGCTTAATTAACTCGATAAGTAGTTAATTAAGTTAATAGTATTTTGTTAGCATTTGTTCAAAAAATCTGCACAGGTTGCCTTTCCAATATATTAATTATTATCTCTTCTTAGCTAAGTTAGGTTAGAACTTAGAACTTATACCTTAGAGCTTAGTCAGAAGCTAGAGCCATGCATACGTTTTCTATACAAGACTCTCTACTTCCACAGCTAGCTCTAGAGAGAAGCACAAAGCAAGGATTGAGTGCTGAGATTATATTTTACTAAGAAAATATATATCCTAGAAAATATATAGATTACGACAAGAAAACTTGGGAACTATATCAACTAAAAACTCCGTTTCTGGTTGGCCACATTTATGGATTGTTATTGACATTAATTTTTTGAGGTCGTTTTCCATTATATATAGGTCATGTATATGGGTTTCTAGGGGCGGATTAGTTGTTAAACACAAAGAGAAGGAAAGAAACTCAGATAATCAAACTTGTCCAAAATCCAAATTTGAAAAAGAAAAATGTCCAAGACATGATTTGATCATTGCACATTAATAATGTCCGTAGTTTTTAGGGCTCTTTAGTACAACCCCATTTTCAGATTGGGATTTTTAGAGTTTAGGGTGTGGATTTTGGGATTTTAATTTTTGGTTTGAAATCTTCCTCCACTAAATAGTAGGGGAAATGGGTTATTATGTCTAACTATCTTAGAACTCAGTTGCAAATGACCCACTAGTATAGTAGTTTGAAGCAATTGCTTGTCCCCCCATGAAAGATCATGAGTTTGAGTCTTAACATCTGTATAGTATGTGTAAGTTTAATATACTATCACTTTTCTCAATAGAAAGGTCCTAAAAAAATAATGAACTTAGAACTCAGTTGGTGAACCATATTGAATTGAAGTAGATTATACTAAATTCTATTGGACTAGAATGACTAAATTGAATTGGATTGTACTTAATGCTAAGACTCTCTAGAGTATGGGATCAAAGCAATAAACCACCAACATGCATCATTCTCAATTCAGCTATTGGAGTTTGGGGTGTTAGCTTTTTGTATTTAAAGATATCACGTTGGCTAAGTTCTTCCACATTCACTCATATGGGCAGAGGTTCGAAACCCAGGCACCCAATGAATATTTTTATAAAGGCATCTCCAGGAGAGTTTCCAAAATTTACCCAAATTCTAGTTAAAATGGCTAACCACTTAAAAGGTGGTTCCTCCAGCAATGTTCTCTATTTTAGTTAACCTCAAATATTTTATTATTTAAATTCATTAAATTTTTTTAAAATGGAAAGTAGCCCACCACCGAGCCTCTCTCTCTCTCTCTCTCTCTCTCTCTCTCTCTCGTGCAGCTTTCAGATTTGGCGAGCCTTGAATTTCTCTCTTCTCCTTGCTAGATGTAGCGAGCCAAAATGGCGAGAGAGGTAGCGACGTTGTTGGAGCGTTGTTTTTCCTTCTTTTTTGCTAAAATAGTTAGGGATGAGAGAGTAAAGAGCATCTCGATGAGAGAGTAAAGAGTCTCTTGGAGATGCTCTAAAACCCCCTTCCCCTAATCGATTGTAGTAATAAAAAAAAATCTTATCCAAATAATTGGTCATTGGGCCTTTGAGTCGTGGGCCTAATGGCACTTTTGCTTCTAACATAAAGGGCCGGGATATAGTTTACATAACAAAATGGGCTGAATTTGGGCCAATCAACAAATGACATGGCCCAAACCTGAACGATCTCCCGAGCTTAAACTCTCTTTTCCGCTGCACTTCGACTCTGAAGTCTCTGTGGCTCCGTGACATAATTCCAGTCGCTCAGTCCTTTCCCTCTCAGCCAGCCTGAAACACTTGTGCGAGAGCTAACTTTGTCTCCATATCTGGAAAAGCTTCAGAATCTTGTTGGGTTTTCAGCTCCATTAGAGTACCGAGGTATGTGGTCCTTCGCTTGAACCTTTGTTCTCTTTTTGCCATTGTTGTTGTGAATTACGGCCATTCTATGCTTCGTCTTAACTAGGCCTATTGATGTAGTATAAGTTTGTTCTAAACATGCAAAAGCTTTACTTTTATTTCCTTTTTCACTTGTAATATTGTACTAGACTTCATCTTCTTTTTGCTCTGTTAAAATTCAGGGCTATTAGATTTGCTCCTCATGTGTTTGTAATAATGCCTCTTTCAAGTGATTTCGGAAGTGAACAGAACAGAAGGAATGTGTCTATTCCAAAAAAAGAGTGTGAGAGAATAAGAATATTGTTTAAGATGAACGGGTTAAAGAAGGAGGTTGGGTATAGACTGATAATGAGGTCTTACTTTTCTACAACGGAGATTAGAGACGCCAACTTACAGAAAAGATTCATCAAGTATTCAAGGAAATTGAAAAGATAATAAAATCTGGGATGGGTTATGTTCATTGGGTGAGGTGAGGTACTGCATGACGTGAAAGAAAAGTTTGAGAGTTCATAGTGAGAAGTTGGCACTTGGGTTGGCAGTGGTCTGTGGTGAGCTGGAGAAGGGGAATAAGGCAATTCGAATTTTCAAGTACTTGAGAGTACGTGGGGGACTGCCATGCCTTTATTAAAGGCTTGCCAAAGGTTTTAAAGGTAGTATTTCTGGTGATAGATAGTTTGAGGATGGCTTGTGCTGTTGTGAAGACTTTTGGTGATATTTACTAGTGACTGCTAGGGAATGGAGATTTGGTTAATGGTATTGCAGGCATTGATACTCAAAATTTGAGAGCCTTTTTAGTTAGAAGCATCTTTGATTCTGTCTTTGTTCTTATTCACCCACCCATTGCACAGTCTGCTACCAAGAGTGCCTGACTGTAATAGCATTGCATTCAAACTGATGCACCTTGAAAGTATTCGTTGGTTTTGCATTTTTTTGTTCCCTTCGTATTGAGCATGCTATCCTGATTGTTACCATTCTGCAGCTAGCTGAAAAAGTCATGTCGGAAAAGGAAGCAAACCCAACGTTTAGCAAGTCGACTGGCCTGCCTCGGAAGCGTTTCTACCGAGCAAGAGCACACAGCAACCCTCTGAGTGACTCCCACTTTCCAGTACCTATCTCCCCAGGTCAAGTGGATTATTCTCTTCATTACCCGCAACACTTCCCCTCATCTGATCAAGTGGATAGCGGTAAAAAGATCCAGTTTGCAGATATTGGTTGTGGTTTTGGGGGACTGCTGATAAGTCTTTCAACCCTTTTCCCCGAGACGCTGATGATTGGAATGGAGCTTAGAGATAAGGTGACAGAGTATGTCAAGGAAAGGATCTTGGCTTTAAGGGTGACAAATCCTGGCCAATACCAAAATATCTCAGTGGTTCGGACTAATTCCATGAAATACATTCCAAATTATTTTGAGAAAGGACAGCTTTCGAAGATGTTTTTCCTGTTCCCAGATCCTCACTTCAAAGAGAAAAACCATCGCCGTAGGGTGATCAGTCCATTCCTACTGGATGAGTATGCTTATGTTCTAGAAGTTGGTGGGATAATATACACAATTACAGATGTTGAAGAACTTGGCGACTGGATGAAGGCTTGCTTGGAGAATCATCCTATGTTTGAAGCTCTCACAGATGAAGAGCTCAAAGCCGATCCAGTTACGAAGCTATTGAGTTCTGCAACCGAGGAAGGACAGAAGGTTGACAGAAATGGGGGACAGACTTTCCGAGCGGTTTACAGACGCATTGCACCAGCCCTATGACTTTCAGCGTCAACCAGTGGATTGATTAATTTGGAATTGTAGGGGATTTTTTGTGTGTGTCAGTTTGCAACTGCCAAAGTACTCTTGACGAGGGTTGTCTGGTTTTTGAAATCTTTGATTTACTAATTTTATTGAACTATACATGTTTTTCACGCTGCAGTTCTGTTATCAATCTCTCTCTTGATACATGGATTTATCGTCAGACCTGTGGATACATGGATTTATTGAACTATACATGTTTACCTCATTCATGCTATTTGTTTTTTGTTTTTTTGGGGAAAGATGCTTTATTAAAAACATCGTAAGAGTGTATGAAGGATTATATAGGATGAAATAATCCAAAACCCAATGTGAGATTCAGGAATAAAAACTTAATCTTAAAAAAGAGAAAGAACAAAGAGAAAGAAAGAAGAAAAAAAAGACTGCACTTTTGGTTACCAACCATCATCCATTACTTTCAAGTTGGTACGCTAAATTTCCTTATCAATGAAAAAGAAAAGCCTATTGCTTACTTTTCTATGAACTTCAGGGGATGTGAATTCTCTTTTCTAAAGTTTGAAGATATTTTTTAAAAACAAAAATAAAAATAATTGGAAGATATAATTTTCTTTAAATAAAATAAAAAATACACGAGATGATGAAGTTGGAATTCAACAACTTATCGGATCTGAAACCGCACCGACCCAAAAACTGAGCTGATATCAGCCTTTGCCGACTGAGAAGAAGCAAAGGACGAAGCATTTATCGATTTGATTGAAGGAAATATGGCCACAAACAGCAGAGAAGCCCGAAGGAGGAAGATCATGGAGCGAGGATCCGACCGCCTAGCCCTAATCACGGGTCGGATCCAAACCCTACCATCCTCCTCTTCTTCATCAACAGACCCAGCAACTCACCGTGAAGATACAGACCCACCATCGCACCCGTTGATTTCCCATGATCAGGAGCCCCAAATCCATGTCCCAGATCAAATCCCAGGTACCAATCTTTCACTCTATCTCTCTCTGTCTCTGCATAAAGTCTTCATCTTTAGTTGTTCCTGTTGCTAATGGTGTGGTGGGTCTGCAGTGGTCACCCCTGAGATTGAGGAAAAGGGGTTTGATTTGCAATGTGACACAGATACTGAAGAAGTCTTTGGAGCCACTGATTCACAAACCCAACCACTTGTGTCCTCGTCATTAACGGTTGAAAGACCATCACCATCATCATTACCAACATTAACACCATTTCAAAAACCTAGACTTGTCACTTGGACTGGAATAAGTGATGCCATTGAAGCAACAGAAAGGACCCGCATTTACATTTCAGTGGCAGTAGCCTTCTTGGTGGTTTTAGCCCATCTGAGTTTTCCTTTACTTGGGAGTAAAATGGTGAAGACTCTTTTGGGTTTTAGGCCTCTCTATCTAGTTTTGGTGACCAATGTAACACTTGTGCTTGTGCGAATTGTCGAGAGCGGTAGACGAAGACTCTCTGGAATGGCTGGCAGACTTGGTGAGCTTAATATGCCAGTTGACGGATATGAATGGGCTGATCGGTTAGGCAGGACTTTACAGGCAGGCTTGGTGGTGAAGAAGGTACTTGATGCTCTGCTCATGGACTGTGCTGTGTATGCAATAATTGTTGTATGTGGCCTCTCTTTTGCACAGCAGTTGAGCTAGAATTTGCATGTTGTATTTTTGGTATGTCGGCTTATATCAGTGAACTTGCCCTTCTGGTTTTGTATTGGTTGGAAAGCTGTAATTGGAGACAATGAAATCTTTTCACTTCAACTTACAATATGCAGCTTAACTGCTGCTTGAGCAGCATTTGTCTATATGTTAATATTCCTTTGGGATAACAAAAATGATTTTAGAAAAAAATAGCAAGTACCTTTCTTCTGTACATGACTGGCTACGATAAACTTCATATTCTTCCTACTCATCTTGACAGAAATTCTCACCATTTTCCTCAGCCGTTTGTCTGCCAAATCTACACCCAAAAAAAAGAAAAAAAAAGAACCAACATTTTGGTGAAGTTATACAATTCAGGTAAAACTCTTAATTGAATGCAATGGGTTGCAACTTGAGGAAAACCAGTTTTGAATACACCAATTTAGATTTCTTTTAATACAATGAAGCGATTACTCACAGTTTTGTGTTATGGGCGTTTCTGAGCTGGAGCATATCTTGATTTTAACACACAAAGTGACTGCAATCCTCAGGAATGGCTTCTATCTTTTCATCTGGTATGTTGTGTTGTAAAACGAGAAGCTCTAGCATGGAAAATATGTGTTTTGCAAATGGTTTCGAATCGTCGCCGGATACAAACTCCATAACCACATTGTTAACCTCAATCAAACTGCAACCTGGGGTTCTCTTCATGCTCTTACTTCTTATGAGTTTCCTCATCCTTGACACATCTTCCCACTTCCCCTGGTCTGCATATATATTGGAAAGTAAAACATAGTTCCCTGCATCATCTGGTTCAAGCACTGAAAGGTGCTCCATGGCAGTAATGGCAATCTCAAGATTGCAATGAGTCCTGCAAGAGCTTAAAAGAGAACCCCAAATCTTTGACTCTGGCTTCATTGGCATCTTCTTTACTCTGTCAAAAGCCTGGTCAAGGTGCCCAGCGCGTCCAAGAAGATCAACTATACAACCATAATGCTCAATTTCCGGCCCTATGTTATAGTCTTCTCTCATAGAATCAAAGTACTTAACTCCCTCATTCCATAAGCCAGCATGGGTGCAGGCTGATAAAAGACCAAGAAATGTAATGCCATTAGGTTTAACCTTTGCTCGCAGCATGCCTTGAAAGAGTTCAATTGCTTCGCGAGCTTTACCGTAATTCGCCAGCCCTGCAATCATGGTACTCCAAGAAATCACATCCCTCTCCAACATCTTATCAAACAAGTGCCAAGCTTGGTCAATGCAACCACATTTCACATACATTTCAATCAGGGCATTGCAAACACAAGTAGACTGCAATAGCCTTTTCTTATCTGAGTAAATGTGAATCCATTTCCCAACCTCAAGAGCTCCAAGCTGCGCGCATGCCGGCAGAACAGAAACAATACTGATCTCATCAGCTTCAATACCCAACACTTGCATTTGCCGAAAAATGTCTAAAGCTTCGGCGTAGCACCCGATTCTGGTGTACCCTGAAATCATTGTTGTCCAAGACACAATAGTCTTGTTAGGGATTTCCTCAAACACTCCTCTGGCCTTTCTCATCTGCCCTAATCTAGCATACCCAGAAAGGAGACTATTCCAAGAAACCACATCCATTTCAGTCATACCATCAAACACTTTGTGTGCGTCTGTTAAGTTCTCACACTTGGTATATAAATCTAGCAGTGCATTTTCTATCAGCAAATGGGACTTTGGGCCAAATTTACATATTTGGGCATGAATTTGCGTCCCCAAACCTTCACAAAATAGCCCTGCACAAGATTTTATTACAAACGGGAACGTGAATTTGTCAGGAAAAATGGGGTTCTCAGCTTGTGAGTGTCTCGGCATTTGCTTATACAAAGTGACTGCTAAATCATACATTTGATGATGCGTGTAAGCTCTGATCATCGCATTGAACAAAAACACGTTTGGCTCAAGAACTTGTTTGAATAGCAAACTGGCGTAGCCTAAATTCCCACTGTTGTCACAAACATCCACCATTTTTGTGACCAAGAAATTGCTTTGTGATAACGAGAACTTCACAATTTGAGCGTGAATTTTCTTCAACCCGGAAGTGTTTTTACAATTTAGCAACGTGGGTACGAAGAAATCTTCCAATTCTCTGACACTTACGGCGCTGATTCTCGTTGCCATGACTTTGTAGAACAGGGGTTTTTTGGGAAAAGAGAAAGTTGCAAGGATGAATGAGAGGCAGAGGTTGGCGAATCTCCTGAGGAACTGTTCGAAGAATTTGCTACTTGATCAGGGAATGCAGGCTCATGGGACAGTAATGAAAATGGGACTTGGGTTTGATTTGATGTTAAGCAATGATCTTATAGATATGTATAGTAAATGTGGTAGAACGGGCATGGCCTGTGCTGTGTTTGATAGAATGCCTGAAAGAAATGTGGTTTCTTGGACAGCTTTAATGTGCGGCTACTTACAGAATGGTAATGCCAAAGGGTCGCTGTCTCTTTTTAGTAAAATGGGACTTTCCGAAGTTAAGCCGAACGAGTTCACTTTTTCAATTAATCTAAAGGCGTCTGGTTTTGTGGGCATTGCTGAGAATGGAATGCAGATTCACAATATGTGCACTAAATCTGGTTTTGAATGGATAACGGTGGTGAGCAATTCTATCCTTGACATGTACACAAAATGTGGAAGAGTTAGTGAAGCTGCCCGGATGTTCAACGTTATGCCAGTTAAGAACCTTATTACTTGGAATGCGATGATAGCCGGATACACACTCGAAGGAAATGGGGAGAGAGCTTTGCTTTTGTTCAGGAAAATGCAAGGGATGGGAGAAGTCCCTGACGAGTATACGATTACAAGCACACTGAAGGCTTGTAGTGGTCTTGGAGCAATTCGGCAAGGAAGCCAAATACATTCCTCCCTAATCACAAGAGGATTCTTGTGTTCAGTTCGGACCATGATTGCAGGTGCTCTTGTTGATCTGTATGTAAAATGCAGCCACTTGACTGAAGCTCAGAGAATATTCGACCAAATCGAACAGAAGAATCTAGTATCCTGGAGTGCCCTGATTCTGGGTTATGCCCAAGAATGCAATCTACTACAGGCCATGGACTTGTTTAGGCAGCTCAGGGTTAGTATACAACATCAAGTAGATGGGTTTGTTCTCTCAAGTCTTATGGGTGTGTTTGCTGATTTTGCTCTAGTGGAACAAGGTAAGCAAATGCATGCTTTCACCATAAAAATTCCATCTGGTTTAGACATATCCGTAACTAATTCAATTCTGGATATGTATCTCAAGTGCGGATTAACAGATGAGGCAGAAAAACTATTTAATGAAACTCCTGTGAGGAATGTCATTTCTTGGACAATTATGATCACTGGATATGGAAAGCATGGTCTTGGAAGGAAATCCATACGTCTTTTCCACCAAATGCAATCAGAAGACATAGAACCCGATGGGGTGACTTACTTAGCCGTTCTCTCAGCCTGCAGCCATTCTGGACTCGTTGAAGAATGCCAAGAGTACTTCTCAAGATTGTGCCATGACAGACGGATTAAACGAAATGTAGAACATTATGCTTGCATGGTTGATCTCCTTGGCCGAGCTGGACGCTTAAAAGAAGCTAAGAATTTGATTAACAGCATGCCTTTGAAACCAAATGTTGGAATATGGCAAACTTTACTAAGTGCTTGTAAAGTACATGGAGACTTGGAAATAGGGAGAGAAGTAGGAGAGACACTTTTGAGATTGGATGGCGATAACCCTGTCAACTATGTGATGTTGTCAAACATCTACGCTGAGGCTGGCTACTGGAAGGAGTGTGAGAGATTAAGAAAACTGTTCAAGATGAAGGGGTTAAAGAAAGAGGCAGGACGCAGTTGGGTAGAGATCAATAAGGAGGTCCACTTTTTCTACAACAGGGACAAGACACATCCACTTACAGAAAAGATTCATCAAAAGTTGAAGGAAATGGAACAGAGAATAAAATCTGAGATTGGTTATGTTCATGGAGTGAGGTTTGCACTGCATGACGTGGAAGAAGAGTCGAAGGAAGAGAGCTTGAGAGTTCATAGTGAGAAGTTGGCAATTGGGTTGGCACTGGTATGTGGTGAGGTGGAGAAGGGGCACAAGACAATTCGAGTTTTCAAGAACTTGAGAGTATGTGGAGATTGCCATGCGTTTATTAAAGGCTTGTCAAAGGTTTTAAAGGTGGTGTTCCTGGTGAGAGATGCAAATAGGTTTCATAAGTTTGAGAACGGATTGTGTTCTTGTGGAGATTATTGGTGATGTTCAGCGACATGTTGCACTTCTATAAGCAAAATTTAAAATTCAACTTTGTCCAATCTCCTCTGAGCAGTATTTGGTTTAGGTGTTTTCCTCACATACAGCTTCAGATAATATTACAAAATGATTGGACGGTAATCTCGTCCTTAGTTGGCGAATCTAATGGAGGTTTCAATCCGACGGATCAACTGTAATTTGAAGGTAAAACGGAAGAAATGATGGATGGGAACTCTTACTCTGTCTATTGAGAAATACAAATAGGCCTGTAATTCATGCCTTTGTTACACCTGAAAGTTCAAAACTTCCGGACGTCTATAGAGTTAAAAAGAGCTAAAAAGTACGAAAAATCAACTTTCTTTATATCGGGGGTCACGAAAACTCTGCATTTTTTAAATCGCCAATGTAATCTAAATAGGGGAGGAAAAAACTCGAACATTTCATTAAAAAAAAGCCACTACAGTATCTATACATATACAAGTGAAGCTTTCTCTCTCTTCTCTCAATCTATCTCCAATTTTGGAAGAGTTAGCTTGTCTTCTTCAGAATACTACTAGCATGGTGGACCCAATTAAATTTCATGGTGCGGTTACTCAGGTTGGAATTTTAAAGAAGGGGTGATCAAGGGCCTGTCGAGCCATGAGACGTTCAGACGGATCATATTTCAGCAAACCATACAACAAATCAGTCAGAGAGGAACTGGCTTTCGAGGACCCTACGTGTCGTGATATCAGATCCTGGATACAACAACGATGTCATCATATCAAATAACAAATCAAGAGATTTTACAAGATGCCAAATCATGTAAAAACTTTTGAGAACCAAAAAGACGGAGAAAAGGAAAAAGGTAAAACCTTTAAACAATCAAGCTTCTTCACAGCTCTAATACTCTCCCTTGAAACTGCTCCTAGAGGCCAATTTAGTCGTGCACCCCGCCTAAAATACTTTTCAGCACCATTGCTGCACATGGGTAAAAAGTTGATATGTGAAAACTCATAACATAGTAAGATCTAAGAAAATGTTGAAGTCGGAAATGAATATGTCTCGTTCAATCTCGGAGGGGAGAAAAACATGCTATTTTCATGAAATTATCAAAAAAGGTGCTCTAGATGCAATACAAATCAACTCATTCAACCAAAAACTGTCTGGAAAAAATAACCAGAGTCAGTAAATTTCACTACATACTTGGCTCTTCGAGTCATTTGCTGCGGCAGAGGTCCCAATACCCTTTCCATCATTGCCAAATGCTCCAAGTTCTCGTGTGTCTGAAATAATGCGTTGCCCTGACAAAATTCCACATCTTAAAAATTCCTGACCAGATGATCCATATTCCAACCAGGATAAAGAAATGTGGAACTAACCACGCAAAGTTCAACAAGAATGCAGCCTATACTCCACAGATCGCATGCATAACTCCATCCTAGACCTGCAAAATACACATACCCCAAGGATGAAAACATGATAGGTGTTATTAGTGGTCATTATCTGAAATGCAGGCAAGATATCGTTTGGCCATTGTAACCAAATATTATTAATACATATTTGGTGATTCTTTCTTTACTTTCATAAGAAACTGAAATGACGTAGAAAATAAAGTACAACCAAGTAAGGTTGAGAAGTGGGGATCTGAACAAGATATAAAAGGCCAACTATATAAATATGAGAAATAACTTCAAAATTTACTGTCAAAAAACGCACCCAAAACTATAAATAACAGCTAAAATCTTTACAAACCAACACACACAAAAAGAGAGAGACAGGTTCGAGATGAAGATGTTGACAATGTTGCCAAACTCAAACAGACCAAGCAAAGAGATCAGGGCAAAAGATAATTTGAACAGTCCATGTTACAAATCAAAATATTAAAAAAGGATCAGTCTCAGTAATGATGAAAACCCTAATATAGATTGTTAACAGGTCCACCGTCAATGTCATAGTGTAATAAGGCCTAATTAGGTTGCTAAATGGTTACCATCACTGCCACCATGTAATGTATCCTAATTGAACATATTGGGGGATCCCAATATCAAAATATGGGGACTAAAGAACCACTATGTTGTCCTTATTGGACCTTCAATGACTAGTTGAACATTCCCTTTAAAATGAAATTGTTGTTAGGTATGCCAGCCTCAAGCACTTGCTTCTCTGATCACCAATTAGATAGTCTTTTTGTTAATCGCCTTATTGTTTTGTGTGGTTTTTCAGTCGGAAAAGATAAATAAAAATAAAGAAATGATACAACAAATTTTGGCTTGCTAACACTGTAATTAGTTACCTAGAATAATCTCAGGGGCTCTGTAATGCCTGGTAGAAACAATGGAGCTATGAATCTGATTATCAAACACAGTACTACCAAAATCAATCAGCTTAATGGCACTAGACTTGGGCAAGCACCTGTAATGCGTTTCATCTGAAGAAAACCTCTGTACCATTTTCAAGCACTTTTTCATTAACTGAGTCTGTCCCAAATATGAAACATGTCATAAACTTTGAATTGTAAAAGTCCAAGATACCTTAGTACGAGGAAGCTTTACATATTCAGAGGACACAAGAAGAATATTTTCTGGCTTCAGGTCAGTATGGATTAAGCGTAAGTCATGCATATCTGTTGGATATAATAAAGAAGAAAAGAAGAAAAACAAGTTAAACAAAAGGACTCAATTATAACACCCTGTTACAGCCCTGGACAAAGAAAGCAGGCCAAGAGAGAGATTTGGGTGACTGATTAGAATAAAAATAATAAAGAGAATGAGACTAAGAACTATCCACACACATGCTACAGATTCCAAAAGCTGTCGTCCAAATTCCCGAACAAGATCCACAGGGAATGGGCAGTATTTATTTCTCTTTAGAAAATCAAATAAGCTTGGTCCAAGCTTCTCAAACACCTGATAAAACCATTAAATGCATCCAAAGGAAGGTTTCTGTTTAGTTCCCAGTTCCATGAATAAAGTCCTTGGACATACTAATATCAAACTGTAACTCAATTTGAAAGCTCTATCGTTATTACATACATATGGGAATCAACCATCTAAACTACTTGATGAAAAGAAAAAAAGCAGGCAGGGTCATATCTATTTTCAGGCAGTGCCACATCATCAGCAGAAAACAGTGAATTAAGCAATAACCAATTCTGTCATATTCAACTAAAATAAAATATTAGACGAGTACACGAGTTGCATGAAGGAACTTAATTGGATACTTACTATGCATATGTGATTGCGGTAGTCAAACCAATTGTGAATCTGCACACAGCTGCAGTACATACAGGAAGTTAGACCACATCACAGTGATGAACCAACAATTCTATCAGCTGAAACCCAGAAGACATGTACCATGAGATGCCCTTATCATGCTTAGCAAGCTGCTGAAGCACATCAACCTCAATCATTGCTGCCTCCCGGTATTTTCGTATGCTCCGAACTACCTTGATTGCCACATACTCTCGTGCTTGACGGTCCCAACATTCCAAAACTCGGCCAAATGTGCCTACAGCACTAGCAATATGCTGAATGACTCAAGCAGAATGAGAAAAATATAAAATCTTGTAGACAGCAGGACACTTGACATCTAACCTTCACCCATCTTCTTAAGTATTTTATCTGCCAAATCAATATCATTAACCAAGTCAACATCTTTGAACAAATCCACAACATTAAACTACACAAACACATTAGCAAAGACAAATATGCAAAAGACTCTCTGAAAAGCTCACATCTTGGAGTGAGATTCTCGCCAAGATTGTAAACATAATGTCCTTCCCGATCATCGTCTCGTTTCGGAGGCGATCCACGCCTTCCAATCCCTTCATTACATGCCACCAGGGCCCGTTGCGCCTACAAAACAACATGCATCCATCAACCCTTTTCAGCCCTGTCTGATTACCTTTATCTCTGCAAACCCCTAAAAAAAGCCTTAAGCTTGTCGTTTCGAACCCGTTCCCTTCCTCACTGGAAACCCTAACCCTAAAATTTCAAGAACCGAAACCAACCTCTGGTTCAGATTGAGATGGGCCGACGTCCCACGCCGAACGGGGCCGTTTCCTGATTCGACTTTGCGAGTTCTCCATCCTAGTCTCTACTCCCACCGTCGTCACCATTTCAAGCAATCGATCCCCCGTCTGCAACCAAAATTCTACAAAAATTTGGGAAATTTAGGGCTTCTGAGCCAAGCTTCGGTTGATTAGTCAGAGAGAGAGCTCCTCAATCACCGTAGAGAGGATCTCTGAGAAAGAAAGAAAGAAAGAAACGCACAGAGATTGGCACCATGCACCGTACCGTCGGACGGAAGAGATTAGGGTTTGTTAAAGTTTGTTATTTAAGTTACAGTCTGCGCCTGTTTGATTTGAACCCGACGGTGGAGATTGCACGATACTGTGAAAAAAACGCATGGCGGTTGTAAACGGTTTAAGATAGAAAAAACGGTGTGCCGCCATTTTTCCTTGCTATTAGTGGTCTAAGCCCAATCTAGGCCCATCTAACTAAAGCTTCAAGCCCAATTTAAATTTATTTCTTATTTTATTTTAATTTTGATTTATCACTATTTAATTAATTATTATTTGATAGAACAATGATATTTTTGCAACGGGTAAAAGGGGGTGTATTTTCGGAGTGTAAAGTCACTTTTACATCTCTTTTGTACTTCTGGGGATTGTAAATGTGGTTTTTGCTTCAACGAGGAATATGTAAATTTAAATATGTATAATTGATTTTGTTCACTTTTGTCTACATTTTATCACTTTTTCTCGTATAGGCCTTACTTGCAAGGAATGTAAAAAAAGATGCACATGTGCATTTAAATTTACATCTTACAGTTGTGATGCAAATTGACAATCATTTACATCCCTATTATAGATGATTCGGATTACAAATTATGTATATTTAACATACACATCATTACATACAACTTCCCACTTGAGATGCTCTAACATCATGATTAGCTCATAGTGTCATTGCGCATAAAATATAATTAAATAAAAAGAAAACGGGGACCAGCAAATCCACCATAGCCCACAGTTTTGAGCCTCTCTCCACTTCCATTGGTCAGCAAATCAAATTCCAAGGAAAAAAGGAAGCGTGCAATCCACGCGACCAGCACACGCCCCTATATATTTACAAATACACTTCTCTCAGACTTCATACACTTGCGCTACAGAACACAGGAGGAAGAGCAAGAGCAGCCAAAAAGAAAATGCAGAGCCTGCAGGCCAAGGCCGCCGAGTGGAGCGGAGTTGACTCGGCGGATGCGTTCGCCATCGACGAGTCGAACCTGTTCGAGAAACTAGGGCTCCAGGCCTTCGTCAACCTCTCCACCAATTTCTACAGCAGGTTCATTCCTTCGTCTTCACCAATCATTATGCTTCCATTCTTTGTAATTGATTGAAATTGAATTGGATTTTGATTGGTGGTGAATTTACAATTGAGCGCTTGATCGCCAGGGTTTACGACGACGAACAAGAATGGTTTCGATCAATTTTCGCCAGTTCCAAGAAGGAAGACGCAATCCAAAACCAGTACGAGTTTTTCGTGCAGAGAATGGGAGGCCCAAATCTCTACTCTCAGAGAAGAGGTATGTATGTGGCCCTTCTTTGGTTATTTTATTTTATTTTTTATTTTCAGTTCAAGTTCTTCAGAAAAGGCAGAGGCTTTTGCTCTTGTTAGTTTGGTACACCATATTGAATTGGATAGGAAATTGGTTTATTTTTAACCAAATTATACTAAGCTAAATCATATTGAACCAATTATACTAAAAAATATATTATTACGTGTGACGGTAACACCAGACATATGTGAATAGTTACATGTATGATGGAGTCTAGCATTTTTAGCAGTAGACGATATAATTTAATTTGATATAATTTGAGTGAACTCGTAGCACCACCACTTCCGATAATGCCATGTGAGGTTGCTGTCAAACCAAATAATATCTAAGTCTTGCACATTATTGTCCGGTCCCATGTACCTGTTGCAATTTAGTACAATGCGGTTATTTTAGGGTTTAATTACTGATGGATCGAGTCCTTACTGTCCAATTGGAACTTGGCAGGCCATCCGGCTCTGATTGCACGTCACCGTCCATTTCCCGTCACGCACGAAGCGGCAGAGAGGTGGCTGCATCATATGCAGCAAGCATTGGACACCAGTTCGGACATTGATGCCGAGTCCAAGCTCAAAATGATGAACTTTTTTAGGCACACTGCGTTCTTCCTTGTGGCTGGAGACGAGTTGAAGAAGAATCAGATTCAGGCACAGCAACCTCCTCCATGTAAGCATGGAACCAGCGACAACCACCATGCGTGCAAAAAAATTTGAAAAAGAAATCTCCATTATCAGTATTCAATTGTCGACAGGAGCAACAAGATTGTAATACAGTAATCTGAAGTTAACCCTCTTAATTATGCGCTTCAAAAGGAGCACAGCTTGTTACATTAGCCCTCTATGAATAAATCCATGAAAATAGATCATAGGTTTATGCTTCTGTAGGATTATTTTTATGCTTCAATTCAACTGCAAATCTTATTAATTTAGAGCTCAGCACAATTTCAAGATTTTATGTGCTGTGGAGCTAATTGGATCATTCCTTCAAGATTTTTTTTATAGAAATACTTGTGTGCCAAATTGGGTCAACCTTAGAACACCAAATTTTCTCAAAATATGGGTTTAATATTTGAGACCCACGCAACCCAAAAGGTTTCGCATTCAGCCCAACTAAACCCGAGAAAGGTTGCATAAGAAAAGTGTTAAAATAATTTCAAAACCCGTTGAAAGTACTTTGTGGTTTGGGGCAAGTTGTACTCCGAGGGGATTAATCCCATCCTTCAGATGTGGGGACATCTCATGGTATTTACCAAAAAAAAATTGTAAAAACAGAACCCATGTTTCTAACTTGTAGTCCATTGGCACCCCATGGGAGAATGTCACTCGAGACTTGAGCCTATAAAAATGATTTGTATGAACATTTTGTCATCGCGAGAGAAATCACTTGCAGACCAAAAAACAAATAATTCAGGGAAACTTTTCAAAATCATTAATTTGCAGTTGGTAAAATTGGTAACAGAAGGAATATTATTATGGCAAAACAGAGAGATAGAGAGATGATTTAGCGCATATATAGACTTAGCTAAGTTGGTTGGAGCGGATGTGCAGGACTCGCCAACACTTCCCACTCTGCACCCGAATTCAAATCTCCTTTCCTGCAATTTAGATTAAATTAAAATAGAACATTATTTGTATTTTTTTTTTAAAGAAAAAAGAAAAAGAAAGGAGAGAGATGATTTGGTATACATGAGCAAATCCATTTCATGTTGTAATTAATTATGCAAATCCCATTATCTTTGGGTTCGGTCTTTACGAAGTCTAATGCTCAACTGTACAAAAACTGGATAGAAACAATTGTAAATTTTGAAAGATTTTCTTGCATCACGGTGTCTTCCACTTTTGAATGAAAAAAGAGAGTAGGCCAATGGCCATTAGCCCTCTCAAAGCTTATCTGCTTGAGCCTTGAGCCCAAAGAAAAGAATAGCAGCTGAAACATCCAAGGTTCTCTCTTTTTTTCTAGTGTTTTTGCCTTTGCTTGTGATCATAAGCTAAGGTGTCGGATCACTAAGGCCGACTTTCGTCCCTGCTCGACTGGTGGGTCTTGCAGTCAAGCTCCCTTCTGCCTTTGCACTTGAGGGCCAATCTCCGTCTGGCCCGAGGAAACCTAAAAACCCAGATACCAAATGGAAATGGTCTTTCTAGTTTGTACAAATCATTGTAATAATGGCAAGACATGAATTATTGTTCAAATTCAACCAATATTTTACATGGATTTTCTTGGCTTAAGCTTTAAACAAGCAACTACTGGACTTTAATTTGGAAGAGGGAGAGGAGGGATAGAGAGAAAATATATTTCAGAAAATAATAGTGGAAGGGTTTTTTACACCAAGATCAAAAACTACATACACAAATTTTCTTTGGCATTCATAACATCAATCCAGTAAGTTCCTATTCTGATGCAAAATCATGGATGGATCAGCAAAACGAGCTGAGAAACACCGGGACAAGTTATCCGGCTCCATCGATCCCATCCCTGGATCGAAATTTTTCGAATATGTTTTTGGATCATAAGAAGCTGCCTGCGGCGTGACAGTGCTAGAACTGAAACTTTTCTTCTTCTTGTCCATCTTGAATTTCTTCCAAAATCTTTGCCACCCCGGCTGATCAGGCTTGTTGTAATTGCTTGACATGTAGGGCTGCCCCAACCTGATGCTTTGGCTGCGCGAATTGCACCACTCTTTGATGCCCATTGCTAAGACAAAGACCAAGTTTTGTGCATCTCATTTGGCTATAGAACCAATTATATATATACATGTAAAGGTGTGACATTACAATATATATATATATATATATATTCATATTTAAATGTAAAAGGGCATGGCTCTGGCTTTTGACTTGGCTCAACTTGGCTGCTCTTAAAATGGACCAAAGTTAATGGTTATATTCCAATATATGCGATTCTTTGAAAAATATTATTGTTAAAGAAATAAAGGAAAATTGGAAAGGGTGCTTTTTATATATAGATATTGCCTCAAAGATATCTCTGCCAAAAAAAAAAAAAAAACTTCAATTCAAAATCATTTGACCAGTCAACTAGATGATTGTTATTATAGTCTTTTCTCGGTACACCGTATTCGTTTATTTTATTGGTCCCAATTAGATGTCTTAATGATTTTCAATTTGTATGATTTTTTGCAAAAATGATCTATGAATGAAGACTTAAAACAGTTTGGATAGTTGAAAAAAAAAATCATAGAGGACCTTAAAGGGTGTCCCTCAATATAAGGAACTGCATATTCCAATATATGCGATTCTTTATCCATTTGAAAGATATTACTGTTAAAGAAATAAAGGAACTTGGAAAGGGTCTTCATCTTCAGCTGAAGAAGCTTTGATGAAGCTGCTTTGGTGTCTCAGCCAGTCTAAAGGTTACTAGAAGCAGAGAGAGAGAGAGAGAGAGAGAGAGAGAGAATTAAAAGGGTCAAAAAGCGTGAACGCCGAAAGAGTCATTATTTGCTAGCCGCATGCCTACATGCATTCCTTTGAAAAGTAAAAGAAATTTAATTATTTCTTAATTATTCAGATTGGTCGTGTGTTGAAACTTCCAAAGCTTAATTACAGTGGTTCACATTGGCCCAGTTAAATATAGGAAAACTAGGGTGTGTAAGATCCAATTTAATTCGTCCAAATTAATTTATTTTGATAATTTGATAGATTAGATTGGATCAATACTTTTCAAAATCGACATAATTGGATCGAATGACAAATTTGCTTATGAAAATCCAACTAAATTCAATCCAATCCAATCTAGTTATGTTTACCTGCTAAATACAATAAGAAATAAAAAGCTTCTTCAAATGGAGAAAATTGAGAAATGTTCTCACCAATGAAATCCCAGTTGCAACGTCACAACCATAAAGATTTTAGGGAGACCAAAAAAAAAAAAGGTCAATGTAGATGATGTTGCATTCGAACTGTTTGGAAAGGGAAGTCTTACCTAATCACACAACATAACACTGTTTTCCATGAAGCTCAGCTCAGACTCTCAGAGCAAGAGTTGAAATTTTAAAATTACAATGACAACTGTGTGCGAGATTAAATGGTCGGTGCTGAAAATTTCTAGCATGTAATAATGCATGATTGAGTTGGCCAAGATGTTGGATGGGATGGGACCATGAATAGTTAAAAGCTCATCTCTCTCCATTGGTGGTCAAGCTAGGGTAGGGGGTGATAGTTCTTGTTTCTATATTCAAAAATACCAAAAACATTACAATTTAAAAAATCTAAAATTCAAAGATGATTTTCGCGAATGAGATTTGAATTCAAGATTTTCTATGATTGAATGGTATAATGACCAAATAATAAGAAATGAGTGATACTATTAAGATGTTTAAAAAGTTGTTCACTGTTTTTTTTTTTTTTTTGGGTTGAGTTTGCTCCTTAATCATTACATAAAACTTGTTCATATTTCATACTCAAGTGCACAACACTAAATGTTCATAGCTTAAAAAGTAATCACAACCAAATAAATTTTTTATTAAAAAAAAAATGGCATATGACATCTCATATTAATTATGTAAATGTCAGATCAAGCATATTTGTTTTGGGATTTGTTTTGTTCTATATTCTAAAGAATTTCATGATATATATATATATATATATATCTCTTTCTCTCTCCTCCATTGTGGCACGCACGTTAGCCGACAATGGTCCCCCAGTCATCCACTAGATTGGTTTCGATAGGCTCTATGTTTACCCAAAGAACAAAGATTGAGAAAGAAAAAAGAGTAGATTCAACAAATAAATAAATAAGGGGGAAAAAATAAAATTCCACCATGGTACTTTGTCCCACCAATTGAGCTCTCTCTTAACAAAATGAACAAGTTCTCTAATTTTCCTTGGAATCTCAACTACATGGTCTCCCATGCACGATGCATGGGATCTGAGGAGGGCTAAGTTGCATGTTTCAGCAGATTTTCTACAGAAAAGCAAGGATTACCAACATTAAATTGCCAAGTGAAACAAGTTTGCCACATACAAAAAGTACAAAACCTTCCCGCTTCCTAGGAAAACAGATCATACACATTAGGGTCGCATTTCAAGCTTTTGGCTCCGTAAGGGACCTCAGTTTTCCATAAGACTCGGAACAGGTATGAGCATAGTCTGACATGGCACGGAAGATCTCGGGCAAGCGAGTTTTGAGACTCCCCAGCGACTTCTCTCTCACCTGGATACAGTGTCTCTGGTGAGCTTCAACTTCCTCTTCCAGTTTCTTCTTCAAGCTCTCAACAATGAACTTCCTCTCAGCGACAGGATCCTTGGGATTTGCATCTTCACCTCTCTCCTGATCCATTTCTGCGTGTCTCTGCGTATACTTTTGGTACCAGTCGTCGAATGCCTGACTTTTACGCAGATACTCCTTCCTTGTTTCCTCAAACTTCTCCTTTAGCTTCATCTCTTCCTCCTGATGAAGTATTATGGTCTTTATCACAGCTGCAAAGGACGATATTGCAGATTTTGCAAGTTCATCAGGAAGCTTTTCAAGGAAATCATGCCATGAATGGAGGAGGACTTGAATTGGGGGATGTTGAACTCTTGGCGGGGATGAGATTTTCTCTTTTAAGCTGCTTTCAATGGGAATGAGATTTAGCTTCAACCAGCTATTAAGAGCTTGGATGTATTGTTTTTGATGAGTCACGAGCTTATCAAACTGTGAAAGCCATTCTTGGAGAACATTATAGAGCTGGACGGTGCGGTCATGGTGGTGCTTTGTGGTTTCCATCGGAGTATAGGCAATGTCAAGGGATTTTAGGTCTGTGACAATCTTCAGCTGGCTGCCATGATGCGTGCACATGTTTTCCCACATTTTTGCCATCCTGAGTTGCAGACGAGATTAAAATATTTCCAGAGGATCCTTCTTAATACAAAGAACATATTACCACAATCTGTTAAGGAGAAAGCAATAGCTTCCAGAACAATGTACAAGAATTGTTTGCAAGCACAGTTGACATTAAGTGAGTGCTATGCCCATGACTGGTATATAAGTCTAATGCAATAAATATATGGCCATCCTTTGTCAGAAGAGCAAGGAAACAGTCCCACTGAAAAAATGGAAACATCAGTTCAATTTCCCCACATTAGAATGGTGATTTGTAGAACGTTAGATGTTACTAGTCTTTTTTACAATGAAAGGCTCTTGATGCATAACCAAAATGATTTCAAGACAAAGAAACTATAATCTGATCAACCAAGAAGATACTAAGGGGCAACAGGAATGAAACAAAGAAGTACCAAAATTTCTCAATGTAATTCTGGGCCATAGACTTACCCATCAGCTAGAGAAACAAGTTTGGGGTACAGCTGCTCATCCCGTAATTGATTTACTTCTGAAACTGTAGAATCCATGGACTGCATGTCAACTATGTATCTTGTATGCAAATGACTTACAGCTGCTTTTGTTTTTTCTAAGGTTTCAGCACTGGCGTTGCGTTTCTTCTGTTTATTCAGCAGAGCAACCTTTCTCTGATACTCAACCTTCATAAGCTCCCCTTGCTATCAACATAAAGCAAAACCAATAAGGTGCAGGGTATGAGAATAAGCATATAGTAAGCTGCACATTCTTATGCCGGGAACTTTTCAAAATATATTCTCCCAGTCACACCGAGTAGAGAGTTGATACTAACAATGTTCATGAATGCAGAATGAGAATAGTGAATCAAGATGAAAGGCAACAAACAAATAAGATGAAACAAACTAATGCAATGCACCTTCACTTCATCATAAAGTTTCTTTTCCCATGCTAATAACTTGTCCAAAACAGTGGCATGAGTTTCATAATCTTCCGAGTTTTCATCCTTCCCATCACCTGGTATGCCTCTGAACGACCTATTCCATGTAATAACACGCATGACCCTTGCAGAATGATCAATGTGTCCTGCATAACATTACAAGAATCAGTATTGCATCCAAAAATGATTCAGAGGATATATCTCATAAAGAGAATGCCTATAACAATGAAGCACGAGCACAAATGTAAGAAAATTCAAAAGATTTTCTTTGTAGAATAGTCATTCAATTGTGGTTTCCTGAGGCAATTTAACATTTTTTGAGTCCTGGAACAGGCAGATTCAAAGCATCAATCCTTGAAAAATAAAAGGGTAAATACTGACAACTAAAGATGAATTAGTTTTTGAAGTCACTAGAACCAACATATAGACAAACATCTTGTATAAAGTACTTTTTCTCACTTTGAAATATCAGAAAGTGAAAGTATATAAGCTTGAGATCAGATTTCCAAAATGTAGTTTTGAATACTTAAAAGATACGATTTCAATATTTTTAAACACATTTGCACATATTCTTTTGATAGGAAACATTTGAAGACATTTTGAAAGATCTGGAGAAAAAGGTCTCTTTCACACATCAAAATGAACACACTCAACTCAACCATTACATTAACACCTAAGAAGGTGAACAAAACATAAGCATCATATAAAAGCTCAGGATCAGAAGAAATTCGAAGTACAGTATCAATGTGGCATATACCTCGATTATCTGCAAAATTCGAGTGATAATGCAACCGAGTGGCCTCGAGCATCTTTGAAACCTCCTGTGCACTCTCCGAGGCCTTCAAGAAATTATCATCAATCTTATTCAATATCTCCATCAAAGTCACACTGGGGATCACATTGACCACTCTCCTACTAAACTCCGGTGGCGCCGTCTTCGAATGCTCGATTGTCGGATTCACCGGAGTCTCCTCCACCTTCTCCTCAATCTCCTCCACCTTCTCCGGAGTCTTTGGCTCAACGTCATCACCCAAATCACCACCACCACCACCACCACCACCGCCAACCTCCACATTCTCATCTTCACCAAACTCCTCACCTTCATTCTCACTCAAAGAAGGTCCCGGCATGTTATCCACCATAAAGAAGTAGTCCCAAGCCATGCCCTTAGACTCAGGCATTGGAGGCACCGGCTTCATCTCCGGCGTCCTCGGCGGTGACGACGTCGTTTCCGAAGCCCCATTTCTCGATCCCCTCTGAAACCCTTTATGACTCTCATCTTCATCATCATTTTCATGGTCCTCTTCCTCCTCATCCTCTTCAGCAATGGCCAACCCAACTCTCCGCCCCCCAATTTTCCGAGCCTCAGCACTCATCGCCGGCAAGCTGGTGGCCCTCTTGATAGGACTCGGAGTGAAAGTGGGTAGAGGCGGCGGAGGCGGTGGGAGGGTGAGATTCTCGAGGGGAGGCGGCGGCGGAGGAGGCGGCTCAGTGGTGGGATCCAGTGGCCGATTGTGGCTTTGGAGGATTTCGAGCTCTTGGGTCTGTTGGGTTTCACCGTGCCCGTAATCGCTTAACGCAGCTCCGGCGTTCTTCAAGGCCATGGTGTAGCCGGAATGGCCCGAAGCAAAGGCGTTTCGAGACACCACAGCCTCCTTCATCAGGTTTCTGCGTTCCTTGCATCGCGTGACTGATTCTTCGTTGTCTATTCTCGATTGCGCGCACCCCATTTTTGTTGGGTTCTTGAGGAAACGACTCTTGGAGTTTCGAACAGTCTTAAAGTTATGGCCTTTTTGACATTTAACAGAAAAGGGCTCAGAAACAAAAGGGTTTTGGGTTTGGAGCTGATGGGTGTGGCTAGAATGCTGTGGCTTCCATGGATATGACAGTGTGAAGCTTAACAGAGCTGAGTTTGAGTAGTGTGGTAGGAGCAGCCACAGAGAGATGCGAGACAAAGGCGGGGGCTTTTTTGGGTTTTCACTTTTTCAGCTAACGAGGGACAGAGAAGAGTGTGGTAATGGAGGGAGGAGAAAGGCATGAAATGAAGAGAGAGAGAGAGAGAGAGAATGCTGCCAAAACTGGTACAGAGAAGTGAGCACAGAGGGCACAGAGAGAGGGGCGAGGAGTGAGAAGAAGAGTGGGATTTGCGTACTCGCACGGAATGAAGGACTCAACAGCTACTCGCGCGGTTTGATTACGAGGTGTCTTAATCCAGATTTTTTAAAATAACGGTCACATTTTTTGAGGCAGCCTAAACGACGTCGGGTCGCTAATTAGCATGTTAAAAAATGCCACGATGCGACGGATGGTATTTTGCTTTGACGTGTGTTTTTGAATGGTAATCGTTTAAATTTGAGCAGGTAAACTGATAATTAGCTAATTAATTAGTCTTCATGTAAAGTGGAATAAACATTCATCAATCGGGTAATTAAGTGAAAGGGAATAAAGCTGTGAACCCACGAGGGGAGAGCTATTATTGGCAATTTGAAATATTTTGTACTGATATGCCTTGTTACTTTAAAAAGAACGTCGTTATTATTCAAATTAGTAACATAAATTCTTAAATATGTTTATAAAATTTGTTAGCGAAAATTCATACCATGTACATTACGTGAGTTTCCTAACTTTTCGTAAACTAATATTTTTTCTCTCTCTAAATAAATAGGTTCTATAAAAGTTTTTGTATAATATTTCATGTTAAAATAGGTCCGTGAAAAGCCCAAAAAATACAGAAGTTTACGTTTAACCATGGAGCGGCAGTGAAAGTGGATGCGCTTTTTTATGCTTCAACTGTTTAATCCTCTTCCTTTTGCTAGGAGGGAAAAAAGGTTCAAATTTAGTTCAACCATTTAAGAAGGAGAAAAGGGCAATTTAAAAGCTAAAAACAGTTTATTTGATCCTCTTTGTAAAGCGCACTGTTTGGCTGATTGGCGATTGTGGGAAGAGAGGAAACGGGCTTAACCAAAACTTTACAAAAAGAAAAACGCCCGTTTACTCAGAATGAGATACATGTGAATTTACATTTGTGATTGATGATAGAGCTCGTATGAAACAGGCAGTCCAGTGATTTCCGGCCGAAAAAAAAAAACCATCAGGCCATACTCACAGCAGCTGGAAACTGGTCTTGAACAAATACTTGCACCTGCCCAACCAAAACACTGCCTGATCCTTGACTTCAGACCCCCGTTATATACGTTCCCTGGGGAAGAGAGGAGATTCATTACTCAATTTCGGCTTCTTTCACGAATCGGCAAGACCAGAACTTGGAGAGTGCGAGCAAGAGTTGAGAACAACGTGAAACTTACCAAGAGGGGCAAGTTCACCCAGCCACACTGCTCATTTGGCCTTGAGTTCAGCTTTGAGTTTTCTCAACTCCTTACCTTGTTGCTATTAAAAAAAGAAGGAAAAAAAATCAGTTTAAACTAGTTTGACAAAGGAAACAACACGTAGCAACCTTATAGCTTGGAGGTGGTATGGAATATTTCCAAGACCTTATACAGGTTCCACCAAACAAGGTCTGATCTTTCTTGTAGTAAGCACCACTCCATGGCCATATCATATTCAGTAGTGTTAGGCTGAGAACAATGCGAAGTGGATACAGCTTCTTTCTGGATCCAAAAGAAAAAAAGCATAAACATGTAAGTGGGACTAGGATTAAACCACGACAGAATACCAACTTTATGTGCATGGGTTTTCTAACGTGTTTATTATGCTTGTAAGGGGCCTTGGTGGTAAGGAGGTGTAAGAGTGCAAGAGTGTGCCAGTGTTTGTGTGTGTGTGTGTGTGTATGAGAGAGAGAGAGAGAGAGAGAGAGAGAGAGTTACAACCGTACCATCTCCCTTTCCCGCATCTTTTGCTGCCGAAATTTATCGATAACTAGATGACCAAAAAAAATTGGTTTCTTTTCCGCAGAGCGAGTTCTGATGCTGCCAACAAGAGGCCTATAAATCATAAAGAAAATATTCATCATATTAACAGCAGACTAGTTTTAGAGAACGTAAAAGCTGATAATCACATTGAGATTGAAGGAAGCCTATCTGCTTCGTCAAACAAAACCAGTTAAAATTACAGATCCGAGACAAAAATACCACCTAGTGAAAAAATCTTCCATGATCTGTTTTCAACTGCTTTGACATGATAACACATAAAAATTGTACATAACAGAAAAGATTTTCATTAAAAAAACTTGTAGCAGTAGCCCAAGTAAGTCACACGAAAGACCTTGAGAAAGAAATTATTGACATGCAAATTAGTCCAGGGATTCTTCATTATTCAAGGGGGAAGTGCAACAGATACAAGAAATTCAATAAGAGTAAATAGCAAAAACAGATAACATGATGTAGAACCTGAACAAGAGAGCTGATACTAGAATATCATCTAACTAACCTTCCATTTGACAATAACAAGCAGCCCTCATCTAATTTTCTAACAACCATCTGTGCTGCTTCCCTAGTTTTAAAAATAACGAGAGCTTGTCCTACAATATGAAAAAACGTGTCATAATTAAAATCCACAATGCCTTAAAACATCACTTCAGTCGTGGTCTGTTCATAAACAAAAATTATCATCTGATAACAAGATCAAGTCAATATTTTCCGCGAGAGAGAGAGAGAGAGAGGAGAGGGGGGAATACACATTTGAGGCAATTCTGATTTATCTATACCTGAGTGAGGGCTAGAATTTGAAATTCGCTGAATCATCTTAGCCGTGCAACTTTCCTTGAAACCATGCCATACTATGTCCTGAAATATAATACATACTGTCAAAAGAGAAGATTCTCTCAAATAAGTAGAAAACCAAACATATAAGTGGCAGGCTAGAGTAGTCAATGATCAAAATTTAGAAGAGAACAAACACAACTTAGCACAATTTTATTGAAGAGTTGAACCACTTCAAGCCACAACAGCATAAGCTGCTAAAGCTCCAATACGATTATTACCTCCACTTCTGCTGAAGTGTATGCCGGATCCAAATTCTGGAGCAAAACAAGAGTGCCTTGCTCATGTGCAGTCTGCATTCTATCTTCCCAAGGCTGACATTGATAAAAGACCATTCATCAGTCCAAGATAGCCCACACAATTGTCCACCTTACAACATTAGCTCAATTTTCCATCTAAAGTAACTTTTCTTTTTTTCTTTTTCAATTCTTCATGACACTCATTCTGTTTCCTTGCTCCTTGGCAATAGAGTGGAAGACAGGTTTGAGGACTGAAGGTTCAAGGCACTTAAATCAAATGTCAACAATAAACATGAACTTGAGATTCACAAGCAAATATAAAAAATAAAAAAATTGCTGAAAAGCAAATATAAAAATTTAAATAAAGAATAGAAGTGAAAAAAAAAACTCACAAATCCCTTAAACCATGTTCTTCTGTCCTGCAAGAATGAAAAAGATGAGAAACTGTAAGACCTGAATTCCAGCGAAAGCTTTTGGGAACTAGGCATTAATAATACAAAAGACTTAAAAGTAAATCTAAATTCCAAACCCTTCACTCCCAAAACACAAATGCTAGGTGACTCAAATTGTTTTGACATGTAATGTTATAAATGCAAAATAAAATCGTATAGTAAATTTCTGTTCTCCAAATAGTTAAAAGAGTATAGTATGTCTACATGCGTGAGAACGGTGTGCAGAGTATAGTAATTTTCTGTTTTCAAAATAGTGAACCTCCAGTCATCATCCTGTGAAAACAAGGCAATTCTGATTTATCTATACCTGAGTGAGGGCTAGAATTTGAAATTCGCTGAATCATCTTAGCCGTGCAACTTTCCTTGAAACCATGCCATACTATGTCCTGAAATATAATACATACTGTCAAAAGAGAAGATTCTCTCAAATAAGTAGAAAACCAAACATATAAGTGGCAGGCTAGAGTAGTCAATGATCAAAATTTAGAAGAGAACAAACACAACTTAGCACAATTTTATTGAAGAGTTGAACCACTTCAAGCCACAACAGCATAAGCTGCTAAAGCTCCAATACGATTATTACCTCCACTTCTGCTGAAGTGTATGCCGGATCCAAATTCTGGAGCAAAACAAGAGTGCCTTGCTCATGTGCAGTCTGCATTCTATCTTCCCAAGGCTGACATTGATAAAAGACCATTCATCAGTCCAAGATAGCCCACACAATTGTCCACCTTACAACATTAGCTCAATTTTCCATCTAAAGTAACTTTTCTTTTTTTCTTTTTCAATTCTTCATGACACTCATTCTGTTTCCTTGCTCCTTGGCAATAGAGTGGAAGACAGGTTTGAGGACTGAAGGTTCAAGGCACTTAAATCAAATGTCAACAATAAACATGAACTTGAGATTCACAAGCAAATATAAAAAATAAAAAAATTGCTGAAAAGCAAATATAAAAATTTAAATAAAGAATAGAAGTGAAAAAAAAAACTCACAAATCCCTTAAACCATGTTCTTCTGTCCTGCAAGAATGAAAAAGATGAGAAACTGTAAGACCTGAATTCCAGCGAAAGCTTTTGGGAACTAGGCATTAATAATACAAAAGACTTAAAAGTAAATCTAAATTCCAAACCCTTCACTCCCAAAACACAAATGCTAGGTGACTCAAATTGTTTTGACATGTAATGTTATAAATGCAAAATAAAATCGTATAGTAAATTTCTGTTCTCCAAATAGTTAAAAGAGTATAGTATGTCTACATGCGTGAGAACGGTGTGCAGAGTATAGTAATTTTCTGTTTTCAAAATAGTGAACCTCCAGTCATCATCCTGTGAAAACAGGTGATGTTGTGTCTCTTTGTGTTCATGTGATCTAATTCCATTGTTTATAGCTGATTGGTTTTTGCTTGAGAATCTGGAATAGCATCTGCATATTGAGTTTGAGTTCTAGAATCCTATAGACCACGATTAAGCATAGTTAAGTATCATGCCAAGTTGAGCCCAACACTAGTCTAGTACAAGTTTTTCTCCAACAAATTTGTATAACGTTGTAGAGGTTTGAAACGCTAAATTTGAGGTGAAGAAGTTTGAAGGATGAATTTTGGGTTGTGCAAAGTTCAAGTGACGGATGTTTTGATCAAACAAAGATTGCTCAAGGCCTTGAAAGGCATACAATGGACACCACAGAAGATGGCAATAGAGAATTGAGATGAGTATACATACTCCACATGAGGGCAGTTGCTTCAATGAATGACCATCTTAATTAACAAAACCAATTAGTCACTGAATGTTAAAAATAAAAGAGACCTTCAAAGTTTAAGGCATTGCCTTTACTTTTTGGCATCACTTCCCTAGAAATATGATTACTTGCTTAAACCCTGATGTATGAGAAAGAAACCATCAAGCATTTTCAACAACAAACCGTGTCGACATGTTATTGATGTATTCTCAACAATATGCATGTCCGTTTACTATCGGTAAACAACGGACTTCATGTTGGGATCAACATCATTATCGATATCATGTCAATAATAAATTATTGATAATATTGATACAAAGTCCTTCCTTTACCAAAGGATGGACGACCTACACATAGAATTTCTACTACCCTTTAAATTTGAAAATGGGTTTGGCTTTTTGCTCATTTGGGAATGCTTTTGTAGAAGCACTTCTACTAAAAGAAAGTCAAAAAGTTTATCGAAAAATCCAAGTGGATCTTGGAAGTGAGTCATGAAAACACTTGTGACTCGGAAGCACTTGGGGCTCGTTTGGGACTACTTCAGTAGGAAGCACTTCTACTCACAAGCGCTTCTAGCAAAAGCACTTTCATTATAAAGATGTTGAAATTTCATAAGAAATAGAAGAGCTTCCTGGAAAAGCACTAGGCAATGCTTCATGAAGAAGAACATGACATGTGCTTCTCCAAAAAGCGCTTCTATGATCCATAAGCATTTCTAAACTTTTCTGCAAAACACTATTAGAAGCACTTTTAGTTGTCATAAAAGCGCTTTTAAGCCTTTCAGAAGCACTCCCACACAAGCCCTTTATATTCTTAAGGTTTAAGTACTCTTTTATCCTTGTATTTTGCTTAAACTACAATCCCTTGCATTTGGTCCCTATGTTTTAAATGTTAATCATTTTGGACATTTCCGTCTAATCTGGGTGTTAATATGCACCCGCAAAGGCTCATGCATCAGCGTATATTAATGCCGAAACAGGTGAAAAGGATCGAGATTGATAGTGACACAAAACACAAAGACCAAATTGGTCAAATCCAAAACACATGGACCAAAATGAAAATTCAAGCAAAACATAGGAACCAAAATGGTACCTATATTTAAACACGATAAGTTAAATGTCGAAAGAGAAAAGGAGTGACATGTTGCCAAGACTACACACAATAGATTCGTAGAAGAAACATTGACATGTCAACATATGGTGAATAAGAAAAGTAAAGTGGGGAGCATGATGTTGTCGTGTATGGGTATTCAAACGATGAGATAGGAAAAAGTCCTCTACATGCTATTTGTTTAAACTAGCATAAGGTCAAATCAATTGGAGGTTGATGGAGGCAAAAATGACGACGACTATGAAAGAGGCATTGTGGCTCTGAATTTTGGTTAAAAATTTGGGTATTTCGTAGAAACACATAGTAGTATTTTGCTAGAGCCATGGTGTTATTCATTAAGCAAAGAATTTAGTTCATTATGTTAGAACCAAGAATCTTAATGTCTATTCTTGATGTAAAAGGTAATCAATGATGGCAAGACATGGAACAATCAATCTTGTGTAGAGCAAGACAAGTAATGTAACCTTGAACACAATCAAGTAATCAACTCGACACTGGTAAACGACAAAGAGCGCCAACTCAAAGTTCTTGACCTTTCAGTTGAACTCAATCATAGTCAAATACTAGAATTTAGTGTCACTTTGTGCCTGACGTCAAAACGAGCCTTAATGTAAAAGTATTAGTTTCACTCTTCTCCAATTAGAGCATCTCCAATGATGCGCCAACGAAAAAGTATAAGTTTCGCACTTCTCCAAGCTATTTGATGTTCCAAAATGTCAATTTTAAAAGAAGTGCCACATATGTCACAACATTGGGCTTTGCCGAAATTGAACATCGAGAAAAAGCTTCCATATTGAGAGATCGAATAGATGGAAACTCCGACGTATAAAAGAACATGGCATTTGTTAGACCCAAAGTGTTGACACGCAAGGAATGGCATCAACATTTAAGTTCATGTGCCACAATACGACATAATTGCACACCCAACCATTGGAAATGCTTTTAATAAGGGACCATTGGACGAAAAAGAAAAGTAGATAGAGTGACAGTACTTACAGCATCAGGACGTTGAGGGACTTCCAACACTTGGGAACCATAATTTTTGGCCTTATTCTGAGACTCTGTAGGAGGTGGCAACTTGCCATCAGAAAGCGTCATAACCTTAACATCGGGCTTCATCTTCTTGGAAGGGCCTTCGTTTGTCCCAAGAAAATCCTTACGTTGAGAGGTTTTAGGCAACTTGACATTAGAAAGAGTTGTTGCCTTATCATCGGGCTTCGTCTTCTTGCAAGGGGCTTTGTTTGTCCCAAGAGAATTCTCCATACTTTTAAGTTTGCATTTATCATCAAGTGTAGAAGCAGTTGATGATAAAACCTTTTTATCATTCATACGCTTATGGTCACTACTTTTGCTTTTGTCATTTACCACCTTGGTTGAAGTGTTAAGCTTCGACTTAGACTGTCCATGGTCCAATTCACTAGAACCCTTTGTCCATCTTATCTTTTCTTCCACCTTAACATGTCTTTGCTCACAAATTTTTCCCTTATCATCGGATACTTTAATTGTACAATCAATCTTCGCCTTCTTGGTTGGCCTATTGTCCAAATCAACAGAATCCTTGGTACACTTTACAATTTCTTCCTCCGCAACTTGTCGTGCATTAACTTTACCACGTCTAACCTCACCCTCGTCGCTTTTAACTTTAGACCTCAATAAGGCCTTGGGGTTTGACGCATGTTCCCCTTTTTCATTAGTTTTATCCATGTCACTTGATTTTAAACCTACACCAAAAGCAAGCTTTTCTACAAGCGAAGGTTTAAGCTTAACCAAATCAGCATTTTCTTGTGTTGAAGAATCAACACAATTTCCATTTGTCTCTAAAGTGACATGTTCTTTAAATGAGTTTTTCTTTGATAGAACCATTGTTTCATTACTTTCTATGGAATTCCCACAAACTTCGTATTTTCCTAAATCAACTTTCAGAACGCCACCAGGCTTCTGAATATCCATTCGGTTAAACATGAATTTAACTGCAACAATTACATAAACATAAAAGATATAAGACTTCAAAAACTAAAAATACCATGTAACTATAATCCAAACTACAATAGACTCGGTGATAAATATGCGTACCATCAATCCCAGCAATTTGTCCATCTATCTTATCCATGATTTTCTGCTGCCCAACGTCAAAGGTTCGACGAAATACAAATTCAGCCATTTGAAGTTCTTCAGCTGAAGGTAGAGGATTTTCCTTGTCCTTTGAAATGCAAAGAACATTGCATTTTCCAGCGATGGCTTCCTGATTTGATTATAAAAGTTCAGCAACTAGACGACTGATTTATTGTAGGAGAATATGAAAAAATTGTTGTTCATAACCTAACAACTTAAACTTTTGCAAATAGTAGTAACCCAACAACTTTATTATGGTATTCAAGCAAGAGAGTTCAAATCCCTACAATTGAAACCTCCCAATATAAGTTGGATTCCACATATTGAACTCTAGTGGTACAAAGGCTCCCAAGCCTAAGGGGGGTGTGTAAGAGTATAATAATAATTGTTTTCCTAAACATCCTCACAATTTAAGCTTTTGGATTGGTACAATGTTATCATAGTATATCTGTCCTCTGATGGTACTTACCAAGACATGCATAAAATAGATTTTTCCAAGTACTAGTTACATGAAGTTTTTTTTTTTTTTTTTTACAATCAGTTACACATTGTAACCATTTCTCAATGGTCATCTTACCATGTCCATTAGAGATATAACATTTGCCAGAAGCACAACTGATGTTCTGCCTTAGCATATTGTGTATGTGTGTGTGTGTGTGTGCGCGCGCGTGATGGAGAGGGGGAGAGAGAGAGAGACGGCACATGATCTGACACAATTTAACAACCATCTCAAATGGATGCTGAGTCTGATTGTATTACTGGAAATCAAACTTGTAAGGGTCACCATTTGTAGTTTTCTAAGAAATAGATAAGAGAAAACACTTGGAAGATAGGGATGATTTACGGTTCTCCTATATCAGAGAACTATAATATGTCACTAATCCTATTCAAACACTTCAACCAATCTAATAAAAGGCACAGGGATTAGTCAATTCCTGGTGAAGATTGAAGCAGAAAATTGAAAAGGAAAAAATAAACTTTGGAGCGCCATGGAGAAAACAATATCTGAAAATTTTACAAGAAAATGCAAAGATACTGACCATACAAAATTCCTATATCATTATTAATTGAAAACTAAAGAGATACTTTTGATAAGAAAACCTAAATATTTCCACTTAACTTTCATAACTCTCCGTAATCAATAATCATTCCATTTCTGTATAGAAAATAAAACAAGTTTCAATATATAAATAAAAAGGTTAATTACCAATGGATTAAGATTCGCAAGGCCTACACCTTCACCGGATGCCAAAAACAACTCATTCTCAAGTATCTCTTCAGCTCCAAGAAAATTCAAAATCTCACAGGGGCGGAAAAACCATAAAACTTTGACTTTCTTTGCCTTCTCACCAGTCTCCCATATTTTTATTAGCTTACCAATCTCAGGCTCGGGTTCACTTTCCTTGTAAAGATAAACACAATCATAAAGACCATACTCCACGCCATCATAAGTAAAAGATTCATAAAACTGAACATCCTTATTTCTCCCTCCCCTTCCTTTCTTTTTTCCCCACTTAAATTCAAGTTCTTCACTTGTCTCAACTTCTACCATGTTCTCCTAGCAGACCTCCTCACAAGCAGACTAACTATTAACCTGGAAAATAAGAAAATACTATAATTATATAAGCTTCCAGATGAAATAGCAGCCAAAGAATTCAAAATGTGGACCAACATCAAATAAATTGCATGGTCTGTGCACGTGCAACTTTAAAAGCACATAAAAAATAACCCAACTACAATAGAAGTTCCCATATTATTAACTCTTAAAACAAGATAGATGTAGTGATCCACAAGCATAAATGGACCCTTACTGGACAAGCATAGTGTTGATAAAATAAAATAAAAAGTAAGAAAATAATGAGTTCAAGACAATAACACTTTTCCATGAAAGCTGATTGAGGACTGCAATAAACTTGTCTTATCTTAAATAACTTTTCAAGAATTAACTTGAAATTCATATCCGGAAAGTGATAGGAGTGGCAGCTTTCAATTGAAACAAAAAGAAACCCAAGAAACCCAAAGTCTTATTTTCCTGGAAAACTCACACTCCACTGCTTTCTACCGTTGATTTAACAAATGCACCAGTAAACTATGCGAAGAGCTCAGAAGCAAAACTGAACTGCAGAAAAGCATTTTACGATTTCCGTGTCCTACTATATTAGAGAAAAACTAACTGGAGGAAAAACCACAGTAAATTACGCATAGAATACTCGCCAAATAGATGGAAGTCTAAAACGTTAAAACCAATTCAGGAAAAAGAAAACAAATCAAATAAATAAAACCCAGATACAATCCCCAATCTGAAAAACCATATCTATGGGGATTATTTAACTAAATAAGTAAAGAAAGAGAGAGTGAGTGAGTGAGTGAGAGAGTGAGAGAACCGAACCTAACCCCGCCTGTGCAATTGAGGTAATGCTGATCCAGTAGAGAACTGGACGTGTACAAACCCTAAATCCTTTTGCCCTGTTTATTTATTTGTTCTGTTCTGATGAAAAACCCTAGCCACAACGCCTAAAAGATGCGCGCGCCTCTTCCTCTCGCCTCCTTTTAAAGGTTCCCTCGTCTGATGCTAGAGCTATATTCCCTCTTTTCAAAATTTTGGGCAAAAATTTAAAGACCTCCATTTTAAAGATGATTGCCATTTTTCCTTTTTCTTTACGGATATTATTTATACAAATTTATAAATAAACCCAATCCTAGACATGTATTTATAAAAAAACCCAAGTACTATTTAAACATAGAAATACACCCAAAATCAACCTCAAAGTCAACTTTTTGGGTGTGTTTATAAATGGGTTTTGAGTGTGTGTAATGATGGGTTTTGGGTGTGTTTATAAAGTGTTTTGGGTGTTGGGTTTTTTTATAATTTCAACTTCCATTTTGGGTGTTTTAGTGAAACTCCCTATTATTTATTGATATACGACTTAATTTTGTAAATGGTATATTTATTGATATAACACTCCGATGAGAAAAACTTATATGTAACTATGTTTGTTATGTAGCATATAAGAGCATGATAAATCAAATACAATTTTCATTAGGTAAATTTTAGTAAATTTGGGTTTTTCCTTTCAAATTCATTTCTTACCCACAACAACCCACATCCTTTTGTTTTTTTTTAATAAATTAAAACTAATTTTTTAAAGTAAAATTTGATGACCAAGATTCACTTAAGCAAGTTACCTAATCAAATTTAAACATATTAAATGTTACATTTTTTAATTCCTAAAGTACCCCTAATTGCATCTTAACCTTCTTTTTTTCCAACAAATTGTTTGCTATTCAATGTCATAATGGTGTTTCAACTTTGCATAAGTTTTATGGGTAAGTTTTATTTATTATTTTATACATAATTAAAACTTGGTGTGTAATTAGCGTCGTATGTTTTTGAAATTGATTGGTTCCAATTAGGCTTGAGCTCGGTTTGAGTTAGTTTGATTTTGGGCTCAACCCGAACACCAAATCGTAGGCTTCTGTTTGACTATTTTGAAAACCAAAACCAAATCATAATTGATGAAAACCGACCACTTCGGTTAATCGAACTTGGTGGTTTGGTTTGGTTCGATTTCGGTTTTTTGGCTTTCTTAGAGAGAGAGAGAGAGAGAGAGAGAGAGAGAGAGAGAGAGAAAATAAAAGCGATGGAGAGGAGAAGAAGAAGAAAAAAAGAGAGGAAGAGATGGAGAAGAAGAGATAGTGAAGATAGATATAAGAAGAATGAGAAGAAAACAAATAGAGAGAGAGGGACTGATAAAGACAAGACAAACAGAGAGACTGAGAGAGAAGGAAAAAAAAAAAGATTGAAACTATGTATAATATATATATATTTCTTATAATATTATTATTTTTAATATTTTTTTATATCTTCGATTTGGTTTGGTTAAACCGTGATTTTGAAAATTGCAAACCGTATATCGAACCATATATTTCGATTTGGTTTGGGTTCAAACTGATGACAAAAAAAAAATTGAAAAAAAACCAAACCAACCCAACCCATCAGTTTGGTTTGGGCGGTTTGACCGGGTTACCATTTTGAATGCCCAGCCCTAGTTCCAATATAACTTTCTTTTTTTTTAATTACTATGATTGGTTATATTTTGTGAATGAAATATATAATTAAAATTTGGTATGTTTTTCCAAATCCGACTACCTGATCATATTTTGTTTTAATTTCATATTAATTGGTTTGTTATTTCCTTTTATTTATATCCAAATTTTAAATTTAATAATTGTTATGGATTTGAAATTAAGTTTTTTTAGATACATTAATTTACCTACGAATAATGTACCTATAATTTTGTATACCTATTTTTCTTATAAATAATTTACCTATAATTTTGTATACTAAATAATGTATCTATCTACGTATATTTGCTTATAATGGACCATATTCAATAATGAACCGATTTTTTCTTATAAATAATATACCTATATTTTTGTTTACTAAATAATATACCTATCTATGTATATTGGAAAATTATAATGTACCTAAGTATGCAAAAATTGTTACACATATTCTTTGTCACAACTAGTGAAGAGACCAATATACCATTTATGCTTACAAACTCCCCAATAGAAAGAAAAAAAATATAGTCAACCCTAATTAATGCACGAGTTCAAATTGTGACTCTAGAGAAAATTAAGGGATTTGAAAAAATAGAAACCATGTTTGAATGCCTGGTTAAAAATATTATTGAAATCCTAAATTTAAGGGATTTTTTATAGGAGAAAAATGCTCAACAACTGAAAAAAAGGGCTGATGGCATAATTTGTAAATATGTTATAATACATGTTGTTAATGTATGCATTTTGAGTTTTTCTTTTGGTTTCCCTTGACAATTTTGTAATAAGATTTTTATTGTTTTTATCAAGCTCAAATTTAGAATAAGAATAGCTTCTCTACGTGTTCTTAACTAACAACTATCCTATGAAGGTTCAAGCAAATTGACAAAGGTAAATTGTGCATTGCATCACATTGCATTAAATTGATTTCATAAAATGATGATTAGTCATCTGTTTCTCGTATGACTAGTCATCCTTACTCTGTAAGATTTCCAGCTGGATAACCAATTATTTTGTCATATTCTCCTTTCTCTCTTTGCTGCCATGTGTTGATTCAGACCTAGAGAATTTTTGGGCGTAAAGGCCAAAGGATTCCTAATTTAGTAGCCGTCACTTTTGTAGGCAAGTTTTGGAAAGTTTCTCTGTAAACTTTATCTTCTTCCTCAAGTGTAACTTTCATATTTTTCATCTTTGAGTTTTCCAAAATGTTTAGAAAACTGCATTTGAAATATGAAAACCTCATATTGCTAGATCAAACACTCTCTCTTATATATCTAGGTTAGATTCAAGATTGATTTTTTCAAGAGTATGGTTTCTTGAAGAAATTGGTCATTCTCATTTGAATCCAAATTTTGGTTTCTGTCTGAGTTAAAGCTTGCAAGCTGGTGCTATGGGATAAATAAGCTGGAGAATGAGCTGTCATTGTCATGAAGAACTGAGCTTCAAGCTTTGCTAAGTTGAAGAAGAAGATTGCACAAAAGAGGTATAGCTCATCTTCCTAAATAGATCTAGATTTTTCTTGAGCTTGCTTGTGTTCCTTTGTAAGAATCTTTTTATACTTAGTGGATTGCCTAGTCGGTTGATAACCCCCAGTTTTTCTCAATGATGGGTTTCTGGGTGAACAATTTCTGATTGCATATCTGTAATTTTTATGGGTTTGTGTTCTTGGTGGTTGACTAGTCATCGTATGAATTCTGCTTGTACTTGACTAGTCATCATTATCTGTTGTTTGGTGTTTACTTGATTATAATGATTTTACATACTTTTATCATAGTTGTTGCTAGCACAGGGGATGCCTAGATTGACGGGTTCTTTTGAGTGCATAGGTTGTCACTGTACATTGTGGCATGCTCTGTGTGTATTCTTGATTGTGGCTATTTATGACTAGTAGTTGACTAGTCATAAGTGTTTTTAGTCAAGGTCTAAAGTGTGTGAAGATTGTGGCGTTTTGTTTAAGTGTCGTAAAATTTATCCCTCGTCACCTAAGTACCAATTTCACATGTATACTTTGGCATCCAATTTAAAATTGGACTTTATTTAAATGTAATAAAATAGGTGGATTATTATCTAACTATTTTTAAATTATATTCAAATATTAAAAATAATTTTAAAGTCCACAAAATTATTTAAGATAATTAAATATTATTTATTATTATTTATTAAGCAATTGATGAAATTAATTAAAATACATAAACAATAATTATTACATAAATAGTCATTAATATAATTAAATAAAGCTAAGATATTACTTAAATTGCAAATATTAAACTAAATAAACTAACTTTGTATAAAAAAAGGTCCACAAAATAATTTAAATAATTAATTACTATTTATGAAGTAATTTATGAAATTAGTAAAATATTTAAATACTAATTATTCACTAAATAAATAATAATTGAAACATAATTACTACTTAAAGTAATTGAAAAAGACTGAGATATTACTTAATTACAAAAAAGAAAACGTCCAAGCGCCCAGACCCGCCTAGGCGCCCGCCTAGAGCCTAGGCAACGATTTAATATCCTCTGTAGTTGATTTCGAGATCTGTCAACTTCCTTATTTAATTAATATAATTAGTAATTAACTTTAATTCTCATTTGTTTAATGAATAATTAGTATTTAAATATTTTAATTAGTTTCATAAATGACTTAATAAATAGTAATGAATTTTTTTGTGCATTAGTTTTAATTTCCAAAATTATTTTAAAAATAGTTTTGATTATTTAAAAAATTCTAGAAAATTACTTTAAGTACTAATTTTTAGTATTCCAAAAATGAATGTTATTCTCCAAACTCTATATCCAAGTCACCACGTGAACAATAATATCAATTATTTATTGAAATTTGAATGAAATACATGAATGTGAGCTGCTCTCGTATGGAGTCACCACTTTGGCCAGCACTTTACTCCTTACGGGCCGACCCGGTGTGAACGGGGATTAGTCTGGGTTGTGGTTAAGGCTTAAAGGTGCCATCCATAGTTGGAGCCCATCCAGGACCACCTCGTGGTTCAGACCAAAAAAAAAAAAAAAAACATGAATGTTTATCTCACATTGGAAGGGAATAGAAAGTCTCTATTCTTATTGTTAAAAATTGTTGTGAGAGAAAGCTATAATGGAAAACAGCTAATGAAGTGTTTTTATTTTATGATTATGCATGAATCAGTTTCAAAGAGGTGTTGAGTTTAATGATTATGTGGCAATCATTTTATAATTATGCGGGAATCAATATCAACAACACTTTTAACAAAAAGTTTACCAAATGCCAAATTATTTTCTCTCACAACAAATCTAACAGCAATTATTTTCACAGCACATCAATACCAAACTGGAGTGTGAGTCTTCCTACACGTTCTATATAGAAAGGCCTTACTTTGGTAGGCTGGCCTGGACTGGTTAGGATTGACTTGTAAGTACTGGATTGGATTGGCTGGGATTTTAAGTCCAGTGCAGTTCACTTTTGCACCAAACAATGGACTGGATCATACATTGAATGCAAGAGGGATCTCTGATGCATGTAGAGTTTTTTCTTTTTCAAACTGGAACCAAATGAAAATTTTGAACATTTTGGCAGAGATTGAAGAAAAAGGCCTAACTTTTTACAAGAAATATGAACCACCCAATAATAAGAGCTGCCATTGTTGTCGATTGTAGCCTCTGAGTAATAACAACTCCCAGTTTTTGAGACAAGGAAAAAACAAAAAATCTCACAATACCAAATCGAAAAGAGAACCCATGGCATCGAATCCAAACTGAAACTTATATCAAGATCTAACCATTACCCAATCTCATATCAAGATAACAATAAATATCAATTTTTATATAAAAACAGAAAATTCGATGCAAAAATCACAACAATACAGACGATGCAAGGAGAGAGAGGAGATGAGAGGAGGAGAGGAGAGAGAGGATAGAAGAGAGAAGAAGGCAAACCACTAGATAACAAAGTACAGACGATGTGAAGGAGGCGGAGGGAGACGAGGCGCTCAGATTCATTGTAAACCCATGTCTATCGATGGGTTTGGAGTCCCTTGTTATCCTGGATTGGTGTCCAAGAGCCATGTCCAGTCCGTGATGTATTTTAAGCTCACCAAACAACAGACTGGACCCATGTCCATTTTAATTGAATATATCAAGTCCAGTTCAGCCCACCAAACAGGGCCAAAGCGGGCTTAGTGGAGTGGAACTTGGGCCTCACGTTTGGATTGAGATTGAATTATATATTTAAAATTAATTTTTAATGGCATAAATTGAATAATGAAACAATAAAGGGGCAAAATTGCAAAAGGAGTCCCTTTTTTTTTTTTTTTGGGTTACAAGTCCGAAAATTTTCAATTCCCGGGTAAGGCCGCTTAAAAACGCAACTGTTGTACTAGAGTGTCTTCGTCTACATGTGGAAGTGGAACTATGTCAATCGGCACCTGAGAGTGAAGCGGTCATTTTCCGACCTCGGTTTAAGAGGACAAATCGAGCGCAAAGCCACAGGTCTCTAGGGTATTTCCGTTCGCAGCGGAACTCTGCGCTTTCTACCATGGCGTCGCCTCCTCGGTCGCGCATCAATCAGGTTTGGCTCCCAATTAAATTTTTGTTAAAAACCCTAGGACTCATAGGGTTGATGTCCTATTTAAACTTCCAGGTACTCTCTCATATATTCACGCACTTATTTGAAGAATTGTAGGACAATTTGTTTGGATTTCGTGTTGACGCACATTTCCTTTTATAGTTTCATTGTTTTAGTCGGTAGAAATCGATGGATTTACAAACACATTGTTTTCCATGTGGTTGACAAGAAAAATGAGCAAACGAAGAGCATTATTGCATACATATTATATGTGAAATACACAAAAGACTGAGAAAACAATTTGGAAGTGGAAGAATACGTTTCCTTTTGATTTTTGTACTTTTCTGTTGCATAAGGTTACAAGAATACATAAGGGTCCCTGATTTGTGGGGATGTTAGCAGGTAATTTGTATCTTATGCTGTTTGGATGTCCTTATCGAATCCAAGTGATAGACATATAGATATTGCAGTTTTATTCGTCTCTTACACATCCTCAACTAGGAAAGAGGCGTGATCTTTGAGGAAATACTGGGATCTTTACTGGGTTAAAAAGTCTAGATGAATTTATAAATCTTTAATCATGAAATTGAAGTATTTTAGAAATCCAGTTTTACATAACTCAACAAGTTTCCTTTCATTTGTTTGCATGTACAGTTTTTTGTTTCAAAGAAAAGGAAGCCTTTATCACCTGTTCTGAAGTCTGGGAGAAATGAAAAAGATGTCAAAGTTAAGGTAGAAGGTTCTCCCAGTGCCAAAGGCACTTTGGACAACTACTTGCTGGCTTCACAGGAAAATAATATCACTTCGGAGCCTTCTTACAAAGTTTGTGATTCCTTAGCCCAGCAAGACCAAGTTAGAAGGAATTTGACATCAGAGATTGATAATTCCTTGAAAGATGAATTTAAACAGCTCCCTTTGTCTTCTCAACTGCACTCTGAAGCTAATGATGTTTCCCAAGCAAATCAGAAGGAAACATCAAGGGGATTAACCAAGGTGGGTGATGTGAAGGAGTACCCAGCTTTCACAGAAGGCGAAGATCGTGCAGAGCTCAAAGACTTTGCAGCAGATTTTTTGTCTTTGTATTGCAGGTATTGTACCTTACTGTAAATATTTGTGCACCATTGTATGTACATTGTTATTTCTGAGCTCTGTTATCTTTATCTATTGTTTTCCTGCTCGTTTCCCTGGTGATAAGTTATTGGCTGGTTTATCCCTAACCTCTTATATTTCAAATTCTGCATTCTCTATCTTTCTTCTTTTTCCTCCTAAACTCCTTATCCTTTCATGTTCAGTGATCTTCGACCGAATGAAAGTTCTCTGTCAGAGCTGAAGGTGAATGACCATAAGAGACAAGCTAGCCCATCTTTGCTTGACCGGGAGGATAAGACATTTAAAAAGAGGCATTGCATTACCAATCAGTCACATGTGGAACATGAAACCAGTTACTCTAGTGAGAAGAGTTCTGAAGCCATGCAGTCTGTTTGTGTTGATAAAAATGGGGTATATGATTTAGGTCTTCTGAAAATGCGGTATCTAGTTAGTTAAACTCATACGAGACATTTTCTTATAGATATAATTAAACTTGATTAATATTGTTTTAATGTGATGGGCAGGTTACCATTGTTAATGAACTGCTCGAGCTTCAACCAACCCTGAAAGCATGCAGTAATACAGCAAAACTATCTCTAGACATGTTTGAATGCTATACACCAGGCTCGCTGACTAGAAAAACTAGTGTTCGTGAAACCCCCAAGTCGACACGTGGAAGCTCATCATTTTCACCTGGAGAAGCTTTTTGGGATGATGCAATTCAACTTGCCGATGGTCTGTGTGCACAGGCAGCAGAAGTAATTAGTGTTGCAGATGGCCAATATCGTAGTAAAAGTTCATGCAATTTGAGAAATGCACGCTGTGACGGCAAGTCAAAGGAAATTCTGGATGAAGGTGAGTGGATGGGTAAGGGTGGTGATACAGGGCCAATGGGGAAGCATAGAAAGGATTTAGATAAAGAAGTGTCCCCACTGCCTGTTAAACATTTTGATTTCTCTTGTGAGGACAAAAATTTGGATAAAAGTGTACCACATCATTTGGATGCATACAACTTAAAGAGTGCGGCTCATGTGGGTGGCGAGCAATCTGAATCCAGTCTTAGAGACCCTAGAGGTCTGAGAAATACTATGATGATCCGTTGCAACAAATCTCAGGAAAATCAAGTGACGTTTAGAGATCAATATACAAATTCTGTTAATGCAGTCACCAACATGAAATTAGATTTGACAGGCAAGGATATTACATCTTATTCACCAGTTGATGAAGTCGTGAAGTTGACTGGTAACCATGAATCTGACGAAGCAAGTACTCCTTCAAGTTTTGTGCCACTCAAAGATCATCTAGATCTGAACAGTTGGCTTCCACCAGAAATATGCAGCCTATATAGAAAGAAAGGAATTTCAAAACTTTATCCTTGGCAGGTATCTTTAGATTTCTGATATAAGGCAGTGCTCGGTTCATATATTTGTGGTGGATTACATATGGAGGGCAGGTTTATTGAGTGCTCTGCGCTCTTGATATATGGGTGGATTTTTCATATACTTTGTTTGTTTTGGCTTGTAGAGTTTATATGTGATTGGGTTATGGTGCTTTTTTGTTTGTTTGTTTTGTTTTTCTTATTCCTCTAATGGAAAATACGTCTGGTTTGGGATTTGATGCTTCTAGTTTGGTTTAGTGTCATTGAGACAATCATATGAAAACATGTTACATGCCTCTCTTTCTGAAAGAAATTGGATTATCAGATAATTACGATGGACAATGCTGCACACCTCAATTTTCTTGCCAATATTTTTTTTCCCAATGTACATGACATGATCCCAACCTATCAGGTTGATTATGTTTTATTAATTTTTTCAACTTAAATGCACGTAGTTGCAGATGATCTGGTGTGGTGGTTTTGCCTTGAACCAACAATATGCTTATCCTTGCTGTTAGACTAGGATTTCATCATTTTTACTTTACTGAAAAAATAAAAAATGATTTCATTTTTTTAAGGCTTTGGATATATGTACCATTTCTCCATATTTATGTTTGAGCTGTTGTGTTTCAGTATTAGAACTAATTAGTTTGAAGCATAAAGTACATCGTTCTCCATTTTTCAGGTTGACTGCCTTCAGGTGGAAGGTGTATTGCAGAGAAGGAATCTTGTGTATTGCGCATCAACAAGGTAGTGATGCAATTGGTATTTATCTTAGCTTTTTTGTCATGTTGTGTGCTTTTGAATTGTTTCATAAGGTTGTAAAACATATATAAAACCCTGTGACATTTGCAGATTTTTGAGCTACAATTGTGTGTGGTTATTTATTGATTTTCTACTTTTCCATTTAGTTTATGCTTCCAGTTGATGTATGAGAAGATTTTATTATTATAATTTTTTTGAAATTATATGTTCGTATCACATTTTTAAACAATGGAGTTCTGTAAAAAGAGTTTATACTGGTTTCCTTTCTTTTTTCGCCGGTAAAGCATCTACATATGTTTCTCAGCCTTGCTTCCTTGGCCACAGTGCTGGCAAAAGTTTTGTTGCAGAAATTCTAATGTTGCGGAGGGTCTTATCATCGGGAACAATGGCTATACTTGTACTTCCTTATGTATCAATTTGTGCAGAAAAGGTGATATTGTTGTTTTCCCCTAAATTTGCAATTTTAGATTATTGTTTTTATTTATTTAAAATTTATAAATAATATTAATTTAGATATCTGTCTTATCTGGTGCAGGCAGCACATTTGGACGTACTTCTTGAACCACTTGGTAAGCATGTTCGTAGTTACTATGGAAACCAAGGTGGTGGAACACTTCCCAAAGATACTTCTGTAGCTGTCTGCACAATAGAAAAGGCAAACTTTTTGATAAACAGGCTGCTGGAAGAGGGTCGTCTTTCAGAAATTGGAATTATTGTAATAGATGAACTGCACATGGTACTTTAAAGCATATCTTTGTGGTTATGTGTCAATAGTTGTTTACAATTTCTATGCAAGTTTTATATTTTTCCTTCATGGGGCTTTTTTCTTTTTCAGTTTGGTTAGTCTTCATTTGGTAATTGTTTTTTGGGTGGACTTATTTAAATGCCTTTCATTCTTATAACTATTAACAGGTTGGCGATCCAAGTAGGGGTTATCTTCTGGAACTTTTGTTGACAAAACTTCGTTATGCAGCTGGTGAAGGAAATTCTGAATCAAGTAGTGGAGAAAGTTCAGGTATGAGCAGTTGTAAGGCTGACCCTGCTCATGGTCTCCAAATTGTTGGGATGAGTGCAACTATGCCAAATGTGGCAGCAGTTGCTGATTGGCTTCAGGTAAGTAGAACTATAAAACATTAACTATGATCCTTCTTGAACAGATGTTTGATTGTAGGCAGTTTATCATTAACACCTGCAGGTCCCTTAGTGCTGCCTAGCTGTGGGTGTTTGCCAATTTATTTAAGAATATAGATACAAAAATATTTACTTGGATTGTGGAACTTTATATATGGGAGCTTGAATTCCACTCTTAATGTAGTTGCTCTGTATATGATGAGTAAAACATCTCATAAGTTGTGTTTTTCAAGGGAAAGTTAATGAAATAGTTAAGTCTTGTTTTGGTAGAAGAAATTTCTGGACACCAATGACTCAATGAGGCAATCAACTAACTTGATTTAGATTTAACCTTTACAGTGATTGAAAAGACCCACCATGTTTTTAAATTTGTTGTATTTTCAATTCTTATGGGCAACTTGATGTTTAACCTGTAGCTTATGAGTGTTTAAAATATTTAAGCAAGATTTTATGGTCAATAGGTTATGCGTCAACTCTTATAAAGAATTCCACTGTACATGTTTTTCATATTATCTTTATTAGAACTTTTGGTTTTGTTACCTTAAAATTATAAAGTGGATGCATCACACAGAGACGATGTGTAAGCGATATGATGGAAGTTACAATAGGAAAAGAGAAAGTGGGGTATGTAGTTACCATATTAAACTCAATTTGTTGATCCATAATTAAGATTGTTTAAACTGTGTCATTGACATTTTCTATATGAAATTGACCAAGAGTACTTTCTCTTGATAATTTTGTAGATGTTTACATTTTTTGAACATCTTGGGTTGAGGGAGGGTAAAAAGTACTCTACTACTTCTTAGCCCACACATATTTCTATGATTCTCCAGCTTTACAGTGTGACTGGCCATGTTGCATGCATAACTTTCCACAAATATTCATGCAGGCTGCACTGTACCAGACAGAATTTCGACCCGTGCCATTAGAAGAATATATTAAAGTCGGTAACACCCTATATAACAAGAAAATGGAAATTGTTAAAACGATCCCCAAAGCAACTGACCTTAGTGGTAAAGATCCTGATCATGTTGTGGAACTGTGCAATGAGGTGGGGACCTCTTACATTCCATTTTTGAGTGAAGCTGTTTTCAGGCAGTAATTTGGAAGTTGATAAATTATGAACTGAGGGAATGTATCTCAGGTTGTTCAAGAGGGTCTTTCCGTGTTGATATTCTGCTCTAGTCGAAAAGGATGTGAATCAACTGCGAGGCATGTTTCAAGATTTCTCAAGAAATTTTCAGTTAACATTCGCAGTGATGACAGTGAATTTAAGGATGTCACGTTGGCTATTGATGCCTTACGAAGGTGTCCTGCCGGTCTGGATCCAGTTTTAGAAGAAACTCTTCCTGCTGGTGTTGCTTATCACCATGCTGGGCTCACGGTAATTGTTTTTTCTTTGGGTTGTCTCCCTTTAAATTTTACTAATTATTCTTGCTCTTTTCCTTTTTGAAAATTATTTTGATTGTTAGTTTCCTCAGAAAGTTAGTAGATGAGCTTTTTTCCTGAAGAATCTGTCTGTTTTTATCTTTTCTTAGGTTGAGGAGAGAGAGATTGTCGAAACTTGCTACCGTAGAGGCCTTGTACGTGTCTTAACTGCTACATCTACCTTAGCAGCTGGGGTTAATTTGCCAGCTAGGAGGGTCATTTTTCGCCAGCCCAGGATTGGTCGTGATTTTATTGATGGGACAAGGTACAGACAGATGGCTGGTCGGGCTGGTCGAACTGGAATAGATACAAAGGGAGAAAGTGTATGTTTTTGTTTATATTCTTCCTGGGTCCTCTTATGTGCCAGCAGTTCGTTTTAAATGTATCTAGTGATCTCTGTGCAATTTCCTTTTTTATTTTTGCAGTTTTACTTAATTCATGTTATATTAGCTTTATTAGTAGGTTTATCCATTTCAATTATTTTAATATTTTTTTTCTTCACTTGACTAGGTACTTATTTGCAAGCCAGAAGAGATAAAAAGAATCATGGGAATTATTAATGAAAGCTGTCTGCCATTGCGTTCTTGTCTATCTGAAGATATGAATGGAATGACCCATGCAATCTTAGAAGTTGTAGCTGGGGGAATGGTTCAAACTGCTAATGACATTCATCGATATGTTAGGTGCACACTTCTAAACTCCACTAAACCTTTTCAGGATGTGGTGAAATCAGCACAGGAATCCCTGCGGTGGTTATGCCACAGGAAATTTGTAGAATGGAATGACGATACTAAGTTATACAGTACTACACCTCTTGGACGTGCAGCATTTGGCAGTTCCCTATGCCCTGAAGAATCACTTGTAAAGATTCTTACTTTCTTTATATATTATATATATTAATTTTCCAGATATCTTTTGCTATCTGTATGGCATTGAGCATAAGTTAATCAGTATAGATATTCATTTGTGTGACTGAGTATCTTCCGCTTTGTGTTAGTTGATCCTTTGTAGTTGGAATTTAGGTAATGTATTTGACATTGATTATACTTTTTCATATTTATGTTCTAGATTGTGCTGGATGATCTTTCAAGAGCAAGAGAAGGGTTTGTGCTTGCATCTGATTTGCATTTAGTTTACCTAGTAACACCAATAAATGTTGATATGGAGCCTGATTGGGAACTGTATTATGAACGATTCATGGAATTGTCTGCTCTTGACCAGGTAATTTTCCTCTTACCAAATAAGCAGTTGATTATTAATGATTCCGTGTGTGTGTGTTTATATTTGGATATGTTTGCGGAGAACATTTAAAGTTTCATTGGAGACGTTAGATGACCTCATATTTAAAGTATGAACTTGTTTTATGCTAACTAAGAGTTTATGGAATTATCGAGAGCTGACCCTGATCGGCTATACACGTTGAGGGGTTTTGAACTCCTGTTCTCTTTCAAATGTATGTCTTTTAGCACAATTTTATTTATTATTTTTTTAATTTAGTGGGTGGGTTCTATCAATATCTGTCCATCATCATGTTTTTAAGGTTCATTGGCAGAATTTATTTTACAATTGTCTCTAGCCCTGTGAATTGAGCAATGAGCATTAAGTCAGAATTTTATGACTGGTGTATGGAAATATTTGTTTGATGATCATATTTTATGGATTTTAAAATTCTCTCATTCTCTTTTCTGGAATGCAGTCTGTTGGCAATCGTGTTGGAGTGACAGAACCTTTTTTGATGCGCATGGCACATGGTGCACCTATGCGTTCATCAAACAGGTTTAGAGAAAATATGAAAGCGTTGCATGGAAAGTATGAAAACCGACCTGGAATCACAAACAATACTGTGCTTCTGGATGATCAGATACTTCGAGTGTGTAAACGGTTCTATGTTGCTCTCATCCTTTCAAGACTAGTTCAGGTTTCATATTTCTTTTCCTCATTCAAATTTTTTACCTCCTAGGCACACACACAGGGGCATACATGTTGAGCTTGTAGCATGCATTCAAGTGTATTCGTGTGTGCTTCTTTTTTCCCTGGTTCAACAGAAGTACAGGGGAGGTGACATGCAATTTGTTTCTGAAGTTGTCTTTCTTTTTGTCAGTTTAGTCACTTGCATTGGGTTGTAAATCCTTTTCTTTTTTTATATGAATTGCAATTACTTTGGTATAATTTTTGTGAGATTTGTTTTTCTTTAGTCTTGCTAAATATGTACCTTTTAATCTGTGGTGAAGGAAGCTGCTATCACTGAGGTATGTGAAGCATTCAAAGTGGCCAGAGGTATGGTGCAGGCCTTACAAGAGAATGCTGGAAGGTTTGCTTCTATGGTGACCATGTTTTGTGAGAGGCTTGGATGGCATGATCTCGAAGGCTTGGTTTGCAAGTTCCAAAATCGTGTTTCATTCGGAGTAAGAGCAGAGATTGTAGAGCTTACTACAATTCCATATGTTAAGGTAAGGGAACTCTAATATTTTCCTATTTTATGTAAGGTTTGGTAAAAAGTACTCCACATGCACAAACCTCCTTTTTTGATATCTGACAGATGCTCAACAGTCATTTTTTAAAATGTATAAATGTGTTGATTTGTAGGGTTCTCGAGCAAGGTCACTCTATAAAGCTGGCTTGCGTACGCCTTTAGCAATTGCTGAAGCATCCGTTGCTGAAATAGTTAAAGCTCTTTTTGAATCTTCATCATGGACTGAACAAGGTGATGCAGTGAAGTGATTCTTATATAGATAGAGTTTTTGTAGTGATTCTACTATATCTTTAAGGTTTATGTACTTTTTGTGTTTTTTATTTCGTGCATTCTCTCCTAATATTGGCAAGTTGATAATATGACTTTAGAAGGTTCAGCTCAAAGGCGCATCCATTTAGGAGTAGCCAAGAAGATCAAGAACGGTGCACACAAAATAGTTCTTGAAAAGGCTGAAGAGGCAAGAGTTGCTGCCTTCTCAGCTTTTAAAGCACTTGGATTGGATGTCCCACAATTTTATCGACCTGTATTTTCATCTGGTGGTGGAAGTTCCAGTATGCAAGGAGCAGGAAATTCCTCTGGTGATAACTCCACTAGTAGCTTTCCTATTGTTGAGCGCATGGAGCATGCTGCTAAGCCATCTTTGGAAGGAAGGGTTCTTTCTGGAAAGGTTGCACTAGAAAGCAGAGAAAAGTTGACGAAAACATCAGATATTGGTGGGGTGGCTTCAGCCGAAGTATATTCAACTGGTGTCATGCAAATTAAGTTTGGTCCTGATAATTCTACAGTATCAATTCAAGGGTCTGCTACCCTTGGGGATGAGCTTAAGGCGGCTTTTGATCAGAACAAAAATGCTGATTTGACTGACCATGTTCAGTTACAAAGCTTAGGTGATAGAACTAGGGTATCTGATGAGTCTTTTGATCTTGAAAAACAGGAACGCTGTAAAAGGGTGAACTTGTCTCCTGGATTTAAGGGCAATGCTTGTGACAAAGGCCCTATTCATGCAATTAATACTCTTGGTGGATTTGATTCCTTTTTGGATATGTGGGAAACCACCTCAGAGTTCTATTTTGATATTCACTACAACAAAAGATCAGAATTGAACTCTGTTGCCCCCTTTGAAATACATGGCATAGCCATCTGTTGGGAAAATTCTCCTGTGTATTATGTCAATATTCCTAAGGATCTGCTGTGGTCTGACAATAGTGAAAATAAATGCTTGCATTTGAGTGGATCAGGCAATAGAAGTAATGTGTTACCTCTTGATGATATGTTGGAGATGGCTAGACGTAGATGGAAAAGGATTGGTGAAATAATGGGGAAAAGAGGTGTTAGAAAATTTGCTTGGAAGTTGAAAATTCAGATTCAGGCACTTAAAAGTCCTGCAGTTCATGCTCAGAGATTTGGTTGCCAAAATATTGCAGGGAAAAGTACTTGTTTTGAAATCATAGACAACTCGTTGTTATTGTTGCCTCCAGTTCATATAAAAGATGGAATTGACATGTGCATTGTGGCCTGGATTCTTTGGCCTGATGAGGAGAGAAGCTCTAATCCTAACCTGGAAAAGGTAAAATAAAAAGTAATGTTAGCATTACTGCATAATCAAGCATGTTCTTTTGTCTTCTCAGAGGATTTCTTCCCTTTTCCTTGTTCATTTTTAAAATAATGGCAGATACTTTATCATTTCCATCAAAACATTTCTTAAAGGCAAAAGTATTTAACCATTTAATTGTTTCGTTCAATTAATATTCAGATGTTCATCATTGTTCAATTTGCATTTAAACCTTAAAATTTGATTTGTAGGAAGTTAAGAAAAGGTTATCCAGTGAGGCTGCAGCAGCTGCAAATCGGAATGGCAGGTGGAAGAATCAGATGCGAAGAGCTGCACATAATGGTTGCTGCCGTCGGGTTGCACAAATACGAGCCTTATGTTCTGTTCTTTGGAAGTTACTTGTTTCTGAAGGCCTTACTGAGGCACTTGTAAATATAGAAATCCCGTTGGTCAGTTCTTCCATCATATCTGATTTTATTTTCTCAAGGGGGTTTTGTTTTATTTGGGGACTCAAAATATCAAACAGTTTTGTGATTGCAATGAAAACTAGACTTGAAATTGCTGGATTCTTTGTGTAATTATTGTTTTCTCTCATTGCATCATTCTTTTAATAATGATCTTCTTTGAAAAGAAAAAGGGAAAATATGTCAAAATTTAGAGAAGTTCTATGTAAGAGGTTTGCTATTATTTGTTTTGGCAATAATAAATATTTTACGTGTGTCACTCCTGTAGTGGCTTTTGCATGTATTAATGCATGCTACTGTTTTAGTCGGGTGCTTGAGAACCAGTGCCCATTGCCCATTCTTAAGTGTGGAAGGAAATGTACATTATTCTCTTTGGAAGTTGGAACCACCAACCCAGTAGTTATACTTCTTCCTTGGGTAGATACCTTGACACTAGCTTATTGCTTGTTTGTTTTCTAGGTTAATATTCTTGCCGACATGGAGCTGTGGGGAGTGGGTCTTGACATGGAGGGATGCCTGCAATCACGCAAGGTGTTGGGGAAAAAGCTAAGGCAGCTTGAGAAGGAAGCTTATAAACTGGCTGGCATGACATTTTCATTATATACAGCAGCAGATATTGCTAATGTGTTGTATGGACACTTAAAGCTGCCCATACCAGAAGGGCGCAATAAGGGGAAACAACATCCAAGTACGGACAAGCATTGCTTAGATTTATTAAGGTATTAGCGAGACTTCTCTTCTTCTATCATACCTCATAACCTTACCCATCTAAGGTGAATTCACGTGTGCTGATTAGCTATTGGAATACTTTATACTCTCTCCCTCTACTTAATAGGATTGTCTATTTACTTATTTGGTTCCATAGAGACTTCCATCCCGTCTAGATTGTTATGTTTAAATAGCCGACATTTGAAGGAGATAGTATTTGACTATTCATGCATTCACACTTGAATATCTGTATCTTTTGATATCAGCATCTCATTGTTTGAAGTCTAAACTTTAATTGTGGAAGAAATGTTTCCTAAAAGTTAGGACATGAATGTTTTGGATAGTGAGGCAAATTAGTAATTGCTGTCTGGAAATGGAAACCACAATTTGCATATGCCAAGTTGAGGAGGTGGTGTGTACCCCAGAGTAGGGTGTAAGAAATGTCCTTTTAGTTTGTGAATATTATTGTTTTTGGTTGTTTCTTGTTGTTCTTATGAGCACCATCAATGGATTAGACTTAATATTTGTAGTAATTTTCATATATTCCTCGAAGAATAGGTTATTCTGATAGTGTTGTATTAAAGGTCCAAATACATGGCATTGGATTTTTTATTTTTTTTATTTTTTATTTTGGTGGATGCTAGATGAAGCCGTATAAGTTTTCTTGTGGGTTTGCATTTAAAAAATGGCTTTCCAATGTGATTCAAACCCACTCCCAATAGATTTTTCCAATCTAGATTGGGTAGAACAGGGAATACCACATGCTGAGAGTTGTGAATACACACGTGATACTTTTAAATTCTTAAACTGCTGCTTCTGCCCGTCCGTCATATATCTATTTAATGATTAATGTTCTTTTATCATTGTTGTCACATTGTGATTTTTCTCTTCTATTTTGATGTACACCACCAAGCCGTTGATATTAGGAAGCTTTGGTTTCATTTCAGGGACGAGCATCCTATTATTCCCGTCATTAAAGAGCACCGGACATTGGCAAAACTCTTAAACTGTACATTGGGATCAATTTGTTCACTCGGTAGGCTATCCATGAAGACACAGAAGTACACATTACATGGTCATTGGCTCCAAACATCAACAGCAACTGGTCGGCTTTCAATGGAGGAACCTAATCTCCAGGTTTGGGTTTCCCATGAGTCATTTTATTCTATCCTCCCATTCCTCCAGTTGTTAACAACTTGAATTTAATTGTTATATGAATTATCGCATTATATATGTTTTGATATATGCAGTGTGTTGAACATATGGTTGACTTCAAAATACATAAGGATGAAAAAGGAAGCGAAACTAATGTTGATTATTACAACATTAATGCTCGGGATTACTTTATTCCTACTCAGGTAATGGTTATCTTGTTAATGTCTTTAAAGGCTATTTTTGTATTATTATTAGATTTATCCAGGAAGGCAAACCAGACAGTAATACCCCTCTCCCCAAAGCTCTGTTTCTCTTGCAAATAGCTGCTGTTGTCAAGAAGCATTTTATATACATCTTAATTTATTACCATTTTGAGTGTTTGACAATGCACAAGTAACGATGTGGAACAAGGGTTCAGTATGTTTTTAATACAATGTGGAGAGTGAATACTCCTTTCTTTTTCTTCACCTGGAGAGAAGGGGAGGCCAACTTTACTGTGAAGCTATATGTGATGGAGATTTGAGGTTTTAGGAAATGAGGATGTGCGGAGGGTTAAAGATACATAATGTTTAGATAGATGAATGTGTTTGTGGGATGTTAGGAAGGAGCAGGGTTGGGTTATGCAACTCCATGGTGTACATTAGTTGATTTTTTTTCTTCCTATTATTGCAGGACAACTGGTTAATGTTAACTGCAGATTATTCTCAGATAGAATTGCGGCTGATGGCACATTTCTCTAAAGACTCGGCACTTATTGAACCCCTTAGTAAGCCCGAAGGTGATGTCTTCACCATCATAGCAGCTAGATGGACTGGGATTTCAGAAGATTCTGTTAGTTCTCATGTACGAGATCAGACCAAAAGGTTGGTGTATGGCATTCTTTATGGAATGGGTGCTAACAGCCTTGCAGAACAACTCGACTGCAGTCCAGAAGAAGCTTCTGAAAAAATACAAAACTTTAAAAGTTCTTTTCCTGGAGTTGCTTCTTGGCTCAATGAAGCAGTTGCATATTGCCGTAAGAAAGGGTGGGGACATCTTACTATTTTCCTTGTTGCTATAATTAGTTGAACTCGTCTAAGAAAAGGTTGCTATTATATCTAACACCATGTAGGATTTTGGTTTCTATTGCTTACAATTGCATAAGTTTTTTCTATTCTTTGTCTGATTACTCAACTCTTTGATCATATTAACTTTTCCTTCTAAATACGCAGATTGTCAGTACGATTAGTGTGAATAGTTTTTGTATTTATGAAGTGATTTTATTTATTTTTTCTTGGCCTAAGAGGAAAAAGTTTATGCATTGTTTTCATGTGTTTTGTTTTGCTCTCAGAATTTATTGTTTCTTCCCTTAGTGATAATTGGAAATTTTTTGGAAGAAGAATCTCTTCATAACAAATACTTTTTGATGTTGATTTAATTTCAGCATTCTTTTTCTTTCTGAGTAAAAGAAAATGTATTGCACTTTTGTAAACATTTCTTTAAAGCTATATCAACTGTTGTTGATTATCTGCATTGTTGTGCAGATACATCGAAACCCTTAAGGGAAGAAAACGATTTTTGTCAAAAATAAAATTTGGAAACAGTAAAGAAAAGTCGAAGGCTCAGAGACAAGCTGTGAATTCTATATGTCAGGTACAACTTTTTCCTTCCCTTCTGTGGGGATGAGGGGTGTGGGGGTTTAAAGGTAACCACAAAATTGTAATATTCTTGTACTGATGTCTTCCATTTACAGGGATCTGCTGCTGACATAATCAAGATTGCAATGATAAATATATACTCCGTGATAGTAGAAGGAGTTGAAAGGCCCAATTCTACTTCTCAACTTGCAACAAAGTTACATATACTGAAGGGCCGCTGCAGAATTTTATTACAGGTTGCTTTGGGAAATTTCTTGCCGTTTATTATTCTATTATTTATTGTAAAGTTCTTAGGGGAATTTGAAATGTGGAAGAAGATATAAGTAAACTAATAAAATATATGGAATTTCTAAGTTACTTTATTTTGTTAGCTTTGTTATTGCACCATGCTTTTGATTCAGTTGCAAGTCACAGTGTTTTGTATGTAATGTTGTTGCGAACTTGTGAGCTTAAGAACTATTGGTGGTTTCTATCCAGGTACATGATGAATTAGTACTGGAAGTTGATCCTTCTGTGATAAAGGAAGCTGCTTTGCTGTTACGGACAAGCATGGAAAATGCTGTTTCGCTTCTTGGTATATTTTTAAGTCTATGGATACATTGCTTGATATTTGATAGTTTGAGGGCATATGTTTACGGTACCTTATTTAATTATTTCTTTTCCAGTTCCCTTGCAAGTGAAATTGAAAGTTGGAAAATCGTGGGGTTCTTTGCAACCTTTCCAGGCCAATCATTAACAGCCCATATACTTATGGCATTAATTCATTCTTTTTATTGGAGTTGGTATCATACAACTGACCATAAGGGTCCCATTTTTGAACTGCTACGATGCATTCAATATGGATTCAAGTAATGTAGGTTTCTAGTTTGGAAGACAGGCAATATGGGCCTCGGGAAGAAAATGGCAGACGGGAACGGTTCCTGGTTTACAATTGAGTGCTTGCAGGGAAAAATTCTTTGGGTGCCATACAGATGTGTCTACGTGGCAGACCACTATTGCTTTAGCGCTCGTCCCGTCAGCACCTTCCAGAGGCACCATGTAAGCCCTTGTTTTCCCCATTGCATGGCAGTAGAAGACATCCTATGGGTAGCTCAGCTTATCACACACATTCTTTTGCCTGCAAGCTTCTTCACACCAGGCTTTATTGTATACTTCTGCAGCATGGTTGCTCCCTTCCTTTTGACCTCTGCCGAGATTGCTTGAATATTTCTTCCCAGCTTGGAGGTGGTGAAGTCAACCATCGACTCCAAAGAGGTGGTGCAATATCTTTCTTCTCCTCCAAGGATTGGTCTTTCACAAGCTTGAATGGTTTCAGTCATTATGTTGGCTTCCACAGACCCTGGTTTCACTGACAATTGGTTGAGAATGTCTGGCAGTTTGGTAGATGAGAAGGGGATCGATTCTGCAGTTTTGCGGTGTAGGAAAGTTGCCCTAGTTGAATTTCTGGCTAAGCTATATTTCATGGTTGTTCCAGGTTGCACATCCTTCTCCAAGAAGAAAACTACTTGGGTTGGGTCTTTGAGGAGTTGATTGCCAACAGCAGCCTCATGGTTGTAACCAAAGAAAACGTTGTCAGCAGCAGTGACAACGTTTTGATTGTGACCAAAGAAAAGTTTGTCAGCAGCGGCAGTGGCAGCGTCTTGGTTGTAACCAAAGAAAAGGTTGTCGGTGGCAGCGACATCATCTTTTTTGTAACTGACAGTTATTGGCTGGTCCGACAAAGTCTGCAAATTATTTAGCAACATAAATATACATTACAGTTGAAGAAGCTAGCTTATCAGTAAAACGGTGGAATAAGGGAGCTCTCTTGAGTCTGAGGTTGTAAATACAAACACAGACCAGGTTGGACAAGTTCACTGAGAGCTTTCGGCATCAGTTTGTTTGGCAGGATGGAATTCCAGTAAAGCAGTTGAGGTACTAAAGGTAAAGCAGCAGCATGGTTTGCCCTTGCCACCAGTGCGAGCTGCAACAACAGTCGAAATTGAACTAATATCATAGGGAAAATTCAAACTACAGAGCTTACAGTGAGAAAACCAAAGTCATCTTCTCGAAAAGATTACCGTTAGGATTAATTCAGTTTGGTTCTCGAACTGGTTACATAATAATCGAACCATATTCCTTTTAATAAGCTTTTAAGCAAGTATTTGTGTTCTCTTACGTTACTGGATAAATTTTCATATTTGTAAATTGAACAATATTTGAATAAACTTCTTACCGTATGCTGAATTGGAGAAATTCTTAGAATTGTAGTTTTGGTATTAAATGTTGTTTGTTGGATGAAACATAATATTGCATTGATAACTAATACTATGAGTCTATTTGTGGAAAGCCCAACTTGAACTTAGCACAATCTTGGCTAAGGGATTAGATACAAAATTGGCTTCCCTATAGACATGAAAAATATAACATCAATAACTTGGCACCCAACTGCTCCAGGAACTCGGATAAAGGACGCATCGCACCACCAACCCTAAAGCCGAACATTAAAAAAAGAAGAAATTTGACCCAAAAGAGAAGAAGAAAGAAATTAATACAGATGGTTTACAGTAAAAGAGAACATTTAAGAAATAAAAATGCTTGCAGGGAAAAATTCTTTGGGTGCCATACAGATGTGTCTACGTGGCAGACCACTATTGCTTTAGCGCTCGTCCCGTCAGCACCTTCCAGAGGCACCATGTAAGCCCTTGTTTTCCCCATTGCATGGCAGTAGAAGACATCCTATGGGTAGCTCAGCTTATCACACACATTCTTTTGCCTGCAAGCTTCTTCACACCAGGCTTTATTGTATACTTCTGCAGCATGGTTGCTCCCTTCCTTTTGACCTCTGCCGAGATTGCTTGAATATTTCTTCCCAGCTTGGAGGTGGTGAAGTCAACCATCGACTCCAAAGAGGTGGTGCAATATCTTTCTTCTCCTCCAAGGATTGGTCTTTCACAAGCTTGAATGGTTTCAGTCATTATGTTGGCTTCCACAGACCCTGGTTTCACTGACAATTGGTTGAGAATGTCTGGCAGTTTGGTAGATGAGAAGGGGATCGATTCTGCAGTTTTGCGGTGTAGGAAAGTTGCCCTAGTTGAATTTCTGGCTAAGCTATATTTCATGGTTGTTCCAGGTTGCACATCCTTCTCCAAGAAGAAAACTACTTGGGTTGGGTCTTTGAGGAGTTGATTGCCAACAGCAGCCTCATGGTTGTAACCAAAGAAAACGTTGTCAGCAGCAGTGACAACGTTTTGATTGTGCCCAAAGAAAAGTTTGTCAGCAGCGGCAGTGGCAGCGTCTTGGTTGTAACCAAAGAAAAGGTTGTCGGTGGCAGCGACATCATCTTTTTTGTAACTGACAGTTATTGGCTGGTCCGACAAAGTCTGCAAATTATTTAGCAACATAAATATACATTACAGTTGAAGAAGCTAGCTTATCAGTAAAACGGTGGAATAAGGGAGCTCTCTTGAGTCTGAGGTTGTAAATACAAACACAGACCAGGTTGGACAAGTTCACTGAGAGCTTTCGGCATCAGTTTGTTTGGCAGGATGGAATTCCAGTAAAGCAGTTGAGGTACTAAAGGTAAAGCAGCAGCATGGTTTGCCCTTGCCACCAGTGCGAGCTGCAACAACAGTCGAAATTGAACTAATATCATAGGGAAAATTCAAACTACAGAGCTTACAGTGAGAAAACCAAAGTCATCTTCTCGAAAAGATTACCGTTAGGATTAATTCAGTTTGGTTCTCGAACTGGTTACATAATAATCGAACCATATTCCTTTTAATAAGCTTTTAAGCAAGTATTTGTGTTCTCTTACGTTACTGGATAAATTTTCATATTTGTAAATTGAACAATATTTGAATAAACTTCTTACCGTATGCTGAATTGGAGAAATTCTTAGAATTGTAGTTTTGGTATTAAATGTTGTTTGTTGGATGAAACATAATATTGCATTGATAACTAATACTATGAGTCTATTTGTGGAAAGCCCAACTTGAACTTAGCACAATCTTGGCTAAGGGATTAGATACAAAATTGGCTTCCCTATAGACATGAAAAATATAACATCAATAACTTGGCACCCAACTGCTCCAGGAACTCGGATAAAGGACGCATCGCACCACCAACCCTAAAGCCGAACATTAAAAAAAGAAGAAATTTGACCCAAAAGAGAAGAAGAAAGAAATTAATACAGATGGTTTACAGTAAAAGAGAACATTTAAGAAATAAAAAGTTGAAATTTAAATTTTAGCAAACACCCTCCTTAATTGGATTATTTTCACACTCAATACTACTACCTCGTGCCATGAATTACCCACTGAAGCTTTTCTCATTCTCAAGCATGTAGCATTAACACATTAATAGACACAGAAAGAGAAATTTTGTGAAATAAGTAAAAATAGACAAAATTACCTTTATTTATTTTTGGATTTCCTAAGGAATCCTTTACATTTGCATGTCTTTGATTTGAAAGTTGAGAGATTTTTCTGTCTTTTTCTAAAAAGTTTTGGCTTTTTCCAAAAGTGAAATTTTTTTTTTTTTGGCTAAAACCTAAATTTACTTACTTTTTTTATAACACATCATATTTGATGACAAAAACTGATATGTAGCAAGATATCATGACAAAACAAGCCAACTAAATATGTGATGTTCAATAAATAAAAACTAATCATTAAATTTTAACATGTATTATCTTTATAGTATTACACTGTCACATGACAGTCCCACTTTGATGAGAAAGTCTTTAATGATGCAGTTTAATCATGTCATTTGTGCGATTATTTTCACAAATAAAGAAAATTACCCAACACGATATTGATCTCACCTCCAATCTAGAGGATCCCCTATCTTGTGACACTCCAACTTTGACAAGACAATCTTGCTTGACATGTTCTGATTACGTCACTCGTGAAAATATTCTCACAAAAATGAGGACTCCTAGTATTTTGGTTCCACCCCACTTACCCTAATTCCACTTCAAATACAAAGAATTCATTTTCTTGTGAAGAGAAATTATAAAATGGTATTGCACTCGTGGAGATATCGTACTGCCAAGCAAGACCCTCTACACCTTGACCTTGACACCCATTTCCTAATCTTTCACATGCCAATTCACACTCGATATCTATCTCACTTTCCCCTGCACGCAAAACTTTCATCTCTTTCTATTTATCGGATTCACATGGTAACTTTGTCATCTTTCTAATTTGGTTTTTAAAATTCTGACCAACCCCTGTTATGGTTTTCAAATGCTTGAAAATCGATTTTCTTTTGAACCAGCGTCACCACATCACTCTTCATGATTACGCCGATTCCATGGGTTTGGGTGGCAAGGTAACCTATCAACTTGTTTGATTAAACGAAATAAATTTCATGTTGTGATTATAAATAATACGTCTCTGCCCCTACAAAGCTGCCCCTGTTTTAAACCCGCGAGATAGATTTTTAGAAAATTCCATGTAAGTTTTTTCTTGTTTAAATGCGATTATTTATATATTTTGTTTTCCTTAATTATGTGTGGTTAATTTTTACTTGGAATTTTTTGGCAATAACATGCTGTACGAGTATAGGTTGAATTACATAGTAACAATAAGTAATGGAGCGGATCGATTTAATTTCAAACTTTTTACATTAAGGTGATCATATGTAGAGCTGATTGGTTTGAAATAAGGGAGACTTTGGAAAAACACAAAGGAGAGAGAAATTTTGTAAAACAAGCCAAAATAGACAAAATTGCCCTTATTTATTTTTGGATTTCCTAAGAAATCCTTTACATTTGCATGTTTTTGATTTGAAAGTTGAGAGGTTTTTCTGTTTTTTTTGAAAAGGTTTGGCTTTTTTCAAAAGTGAAATTTTTTTTTTTGGCTAAAATCTAAATTTACTTTGAAGAATAATGTAGATTTCTGGCTTGGGAACCAGACTATATGAAGGAACTGACAGATGGGATTGGAGTGATTCCTAGCTTAAGTTTGAGCACTTGGAAAGGTCAAGTGCTTTGGGTTCCGCTCTATTATGATTTGGCTCCCCCACACACACTGCCCTGCGTCACACGCTTCGACGACAAAAATTTATATATAACATAGCATAATAGTATGACAAACCAATCCAGTAAAAAATGTGATATGTTAAAAGAAACAAAACCTAATCATTAAATTTTAACACATGTCATATTTATGCTATTACACTACTTTAACTAGAAATTTTTTGGCGCGTAGTCTGATGTGACACTCTCACTTTTATAAGAAAGTCTTTGACGATGCAGTCAGATGACGTTATATGTATCCTTGATATTTAAAAAAAATACCGCTAAAAAAAGTTTACTTTATTTATTTATTATAAATATAGGGCCATTTTAATACAATGTTTAAGCCTTTAAGCCCATTTTACAAAACCCAACCCGTTAGTTATATTAAAAATTAGGGTAGATGTCTTCTTCTTCCCAGTGTGGCCTGCACTCCTTCCTCTCGTTGTTTCGACTTCATCTCTCTCTCTCTCTCTCTCTCTCTCTCTCTCTCTCTCTCGGTCTTTCTTCTTGCAGCGCCTTAGTGCC